AGTTTTAAAAGCGTGCTTGTAAATTGATAAACTTAGAGCAAACAGACAGGCAAAAGTTATTGATTATCAAATAAGAATACTCAATATCATTTTTTTTTATCCAAATTAGTAATCGATATAAGTGCCAGAAGAGAAAGTATTGCGCAAATATTAATGTCCAGAAAAAATTGTATCGATGGCTCTAGAAAAATAGCTTCATCAGTAACGAGCAGTTAATTTAAAGCATGAAAACAGAAAATGAAAATACATGTCCAATGGTCCTGGTTCTTCAAAAGATGCCGGACAAGAAAATGTCTTTCAAGATAAAGTAGAGAAGTTTATATCCATAACAGTAAAAACTCTGGAAATTTTAAATAACCTGCATAAATTTCTCTTTTCAAAAATTGTCTTCAAAACGGAATTGTGGCTGCTGGAGATCATGCAAAACAAGATCATTCTCTTCAAAATGAGAGAATCGTTTAGTCTTCACCTAGGAAAGTTTTGCATTTATTGTTCCATAGGTTTTTACTTTGCAGAATCATTCATCTATGTGTCATTTACCAGTTTTGATTTCAATTTCAAAATGTCGTTGAAACCTTGTTTCTTAAATCTCTAATACAATAAAGGTTCATGATGCACCAAAATTATAAATATGCATAAGTTGAATAAAAATGATATAATTGTATATGAATTGAGAATTCAAAAAATTTGCATTTCTTCTGCGAGAATTGATTGCTGCGATGTCTTTTAAAATGCTATAGTATTTTTTGAAGTTTACTTCATGTAACTCTAGACATTTTAGCTTTCTCATTTTAAATTTATGGCAATTTTCAATTGCTTCTTAGCTCCGTGTGGCTTGTTCAATGCAATAAAAAAATTATCAGAAATATATTCGAGAGAGTTGAGGTAAGGTGAAACACTATAAATATGAAATTTCCCAACGAATCACAGGAATTTAAACTTATAAAAATAATTTGTAAAAACATATCGATGTAGTTCAAAATTAGACGATGCTTCGATGACCTTTTTTATTATTGCATATAATTATTGAAATAATTATCAAGTTTTATCTGAAAAACAAAATGCGAAAATCGTTGAAAGAATGGTTGCGTGATCTGCGAGAAAGTGTTTATTTCATAAATTATACTCTCGACGTATCAGAAGGAAATATATATATGTGGGTATATTTTTTTCCATGTGGACCCCGAACTTCTTGCAGTAGACCAGACCAGATTTTTTGCAGGGGAATTTTGACAGCTCGGGTTCAGATCTCCTGCCCTCACTTTACCTGTGGTTGATTAAATTGGTTATAGGCAACGCCGAACCGGAGAGATTCCGCTCCTCCCATATCATTAGATATCAGTCGCTGATAAAAAAGCGTCACATAAAAAATATATTTTTGAGTTTCGTGAATTCCTCAGTAGGACCCGATCATTCCGTCACAAATTGATACAATCACATTCGGATCTATTTTAACTTTTATATTTAAGTGTGATTATTAATTTTACAACACATTTTTACATGCGACGTTACCGTCACAACAAAATTTCAAGCAGTCATCCATTTTGGGCATCATAACGTCTATCAAGTGTTGTTATTTGGTATATCTGCGTTTAGGCGTGTATATAGAGTAGTTAATCAGCCTTGCGTTCGCCTAATAAGTTTAACGCCTCGTGTCTAAATCCTATTGTTGTCACTTCACCCAGAATTGGGTCGTCTAGGTTCTTATAAGAAGTAGTATTTCATCAATGCCACTGGCTGCATATTTAATATTGTTTAGAAAAAAAAAAAAAGAAACGCCCCAAAAAGTACGCTATTGTTGGCGCTAAAGACAAATTGTTTCCCATAAAACGTAAATTTTAAACTGTAGTTGATTGAGCGGTTACTATAACTACTCACAATTTTTTTTTCAAATGAGTAAAAAATCAAGTAATTTCTTGCGTAGAAAACTGTAGTTCTCGCTGAGCGAAGTTACCTAAAATTGAAGGAAAGAGTATCCGCCAAGCGTTGCGTTATGCGACGAATACAAAATGGCGAATTTCCATTTCAGGCGGGACCATTTCGTCTTAACGCCAACGAGTTGCATCGCATTACAGATCGGTAGAATGAAGGTATCTTCAGTGAAAAAATATAAGTCAATGTTACTGTCTGTTTAAATTTCCCATAAAAGTTTTTCCATTCAGTTAGTTTTTGCTTCGGAGTGTATTGTACTTGCGGTAGTTTAAAGATATAATACAGAAGTAAAAATCTTGCAATTTCCCATACAAAATCTGAAACCTAATTCAACTCGATTTTGGTAGGAATAAATTGAGTATATATACTTAGCCAAATGGAGTTAATGAATCTTAACTTACACTCTGACACTCAGTTTTGGTCAAGCACCCATCATGATCTTGTTAATTTGGGATTCGATTTAGATCTAGCAATAACATCGTAAGGAAGTGAGTACTAGTAAACTTGAGTTAAATAGTTTGATTTTCACAAACTGTACATGTACCTGCTATGAATTATCTAGGTAGCGGTCACATTGTAGATTGTACTGTAATAGAAGGATATAATTTCACATCTTGAACGGAACAACCGATTGGTCTATACTTCGGCCATTTTTATTTCTACTCAAAAATTTGCAAACAGTCTAGCAGATTACCGCGGGAAGTTTTAGATTTTAAATTAAACTGCCAATCGTAAGTCGAATTTTGAAAAAAGTGACGCAGAATAAATGCAAAGCAAAATTGAAAATGCGGTGTCGGCTAATGAGCAAAACGAAGTAGTTCAGCTGGCGCTTGAGGGTCAAAATGGGGCCTGCTTGCTCTCGAGGCCTGGCGTCAAGTACCATTATCGTCGTAACGTTGCCTGGAACCAAAAAAATGCGATTCGGTAGGGTAATAGACCTTATATTACATATCTCTTCGCGTACTTCTGGTATTTTGTGTTTATTTAATTTTGTTCACTTGTTGGGTTTTTCGTGAGCTTCCGGGCATAATTTTTTTCTAAAGCACACGTCATTGCTAATTCGATGTTACAGATTTGAATTCATTCAGCCCTATTATGAAATTGCTGTCAATTGTAAAAAAAAAAGATGACAATGTTGCAATACGTAACCAAACTTAATACTAAAAACTTGTGCTAATTAACAAAAATATAATGATCTTTCATTGCCACACAAAAATTCCTTCGCATACTCGTAGCGAGATACAGATTATTTTTAATGCCTGTGGCGCTTCAAAGCTTTTAGTATCAAATTTTTCTGCATATTGTTAATTTTTTCTTAATTTCATGAAATCGACATGCCTTGAAACATGATCATTTCATTAATGATTTTACCCTGGGTTTCGCGCACTAACACAGAATTTTAAAATTCAGATCTCTAAACGAAGTTGTGTGTGCCAACAGCTTATTGAGGGAATGATTTTTCTAATTTATGTTCCTGTAACTCTTGTAATGCTAAACATCTCGACTGCAGCGGTAAAGCCCCTTTTCTGTCTATACAGAATATATAATAATACTTGTATGGCAAGAGGAAATTATGGTTGACATGTCCCAAACCAACGTCGTTTCACACTGAAAATTTTTCGCGATGTCGGCTATACTGACCAGTAGCGGCGATAGTATGCGATATCGACGCGAGCATACTAACGAGTAAATCAATATAATCCAAACGATATCCTTCGGTCTATGAAAGATAACCAATCTCAACAAAGTCAATGTTTTATTTCATAACATATTATATTCGTATCAATTAACACACGATAGAAAATATCGGTCTCTATTACATTGTATTGAAATTGTATAATATACAATAAAAAGGTATTTGACCAAGAGGTCCATGCGTTATTCAAATAAAAGAATTTTCAGCGAAAAACAAACATTAAGATTAACACGATTTGAAATGTACACACGGTCGTCAAACTTGACCGTGTTTCATAAAAGGTTAGTTCTAGACCCAAAGTACGTCAATTCTTTAGTATAAGACAGTATGTTCTCACGTATTAGGACTATAGCGGATTTTGAAAGAACTTTGATACATATGTTATTCGCAAGTGTTTTGAGAAGTTTAGACGATGGAACTCATAAATTTTCTATTTGAAGTTAAAACAAAATCAGGCTAAATTTTAGTAGATTTTGCGTAAATATTTTGATTTAAAAATCAACAATATGGAATTTTTGAAGACTTCCGAATACTAATACCATTGAGGTTTTAGTCCTCTATACTAAGTTTTAGTGAATGATTAGACAATGGAAACAACTTTTCAATTTGAGAAAGTAACGGAATATTATTATTAAAATTATTAAATGTAGCTAGATAAATCAGTAATTGTTTGTTTGTGAGTTAAACGTTTTATTAACATATCTTTAATAATGTTCCTGACTGTTAGAGATTACTAAGAAAGCCCAATTTGAAGTCGCAATCTCTGTTCAAACAAGGATTAGATTAGCAAGGGATTTAGGTTATTCTTCAGGTCAACAAAATTTATATTCCATCAGAATTTTTCTCAATTGTAGGTATGTCAGGAAAAAGGAATATATTATGAATATTTTGAGCAGATTTATTCAATTTAAAAATGAGTACATTGTTAATGAAAGTTCATAGCAATAATTTAAGAATCTTAAAATAGTTGCGGTAGCGAGACGACCCTATTGCTGCAGTATACTTCGTATTTGCCGAAAAGTCGTCAACAGTTAAAAAAAGAATTCAACCATAGTATTTTACTAAATAACAGGAATACATGGTTTCAAAGCAAAATTCAAAGAGCTCTACTTATATTTATTACTCCTTTGATACTATGTTGAAGTACATTTTGAGCAAATGAGTCTTTTCGTCAACGTTTATGCAAGTTGTGATATAAGTAAGCGCAGATACACATTTCTAAAATATTCGAGCGAACAACGTCTGTGCGACAAAATGGGAGAGCGTTCGAACGTTTGCGGCTTGGGAGAAAAGAAAGAAATACGCAGCGGTACTCGTCGCTATCGGCACACCGACAAGGCATTCGACTTAGTTCATATATACACCGTTGCTCAGAATAACGTATTGTGTAGTGGTTCTTCCAGCTAAAATAAGCATATGATAAAGGCAATTATTCTATGGAAAATTAAAACAGTAATATTCTGGTATCTATGTCGTACTATGTTTAACTATATTTAATCCCTTCGAATATTCAGATTACTGTATTTGATACTTTTTTACTATCTGAAAATAATTATAGTGTATAAAAGAAAGAGGGCAAGATATATACATATAAAATAGACAAATATAGCTTCAAAAGATAGTTTCAGGCAGGGGAGTTTGGCTTACCGTGAACTGTTATACGAGAGATGTCACTGAGCCCAAAGTTGCAACAATCTTCCTCCACAACAACACCTTTTTCCGTGACTGATATACTGAGCCCATTGGAGGAACCGTACGGCAATCAAGACATCCGTAATAGTAATACCAACAATACGGAAAACATCTCAGATAACTCCGGTCTTTATACCGGCAGTCAAAATCAAATTTTGTCTATAGATCCCCATCAGCAAGCGAGTTTACTGAACGTACATCCTTACGATAGTAATACAACGACTGGTCACGGACATTTCTCGACAATGGATCCAGGGTCGATCGTCGCGGTTTCTGCCGCACTACACGTACCAAACGTAGGCGACCAGTCTGTAATGGGGTCGATGTCACCTCCTGGAGGAAACCCAAGCGCTTTGCAATTGTATGCAAGGCACCCCATGTCAATAGGCTCGACACAACACCATCACCATCAACAGCTTCAAGTGCCGTATCAATCCATGAACTCGTCTGCTGCTGTCGGCATGAATGGGAGCTATAATTTACATCCTATGCCCCCAACTCAATCATCATTTCACTCTATGTCTGGTACGGCGTCAGCTGCAACAGGATATTGCAACGGGGCGATGGGAGACCTCAGTCCTTACGGTAATGTTCAGTCAGCAACTGCAAGTGGATGGTATCCGGCAACTAATCCGGATCCTCGCTTCGGAGGCATGCAAAGTGAGTAACTTTATTTTATTCCTCTATTTATGATTCTAAACTTGAATTTAATATTTCTTGAAGCACAATAAAAATAGTCCTGCCAAGGTTCCTGAAGCATATGAATAAAAATCTATCCAAGTCCCTTATATCACCAAATTCAGAGGCTTCAGACGTGAAGTGCTGTTTCGAAATGCAGTTAAGAGCATCCAAGAGTACGTTCGTGTATTGCCTCGACAGGTATCCTTGAGATTCTCCAGTCATCTATAATGTAATATCGATATTAGCGAACGAAACAATACTAATAATAATATTAAGTCCGCCAAGATCCACTCCACACTACTCTTTGTGTATCAGGAAAACAATTCATACCTTCGAGTAGTATACCTAACATAATATCGATGACGGCAGAGGAGCCGGTAAATGCAAGACAAGATTTTGTAAGAGCCCTGAAATTAGGCCCTCAGTCTGAGATGAAGGGTTTTTGAACCGGCCTTAGGTGCATTATGGAAGTTGAGGGGTGGAGAGGCTCTTGGAGTTCAGAGTGATCACTACCTCGGTATACAAAACCCCTTGACTATGATCAAACAATTTATAGCATTGTTATGATAATACAAAACAAATTATACCACAACGGACTAACTTTTGATATTTTTGACCGGTAAAGTTACGAACTAGAAGATGTATTTTTAGTTCTGCAAAACCGCCCCAATACGATAATAAAGTTAAAAACATGTTTCTTCGCCGCCATTCGATTTTATATCAAGTTATTTATAATCAATCTCAATGAAATAAAACCTAGCAACTGAATTATTCTCCAACTTAAATTGAAGATGTAACTATCATTAGCGTTAAGCTTTTTAAAATTTTTGAAAACATTCAATAATGCCATGATGAATGTCCATGGCGACCCTTTCCATTTTACAATAAGTTTACATAATAAATTGAATTAACTTGCTTGGGACAGCTCGCAGTCTATTTGATTCTATCAGTACTCGGCTAGACAAGTTTGCAAACATGGGGTGTGAATGGTATCGTTTGATTTTAGGCGTTTGCACCAGACATTGGCCCCGCCATTGGGTCGCTTGGACCCAATCACACTACAATTTTTTATCTGTACATGATCGTATATGGGACAAAATCAAATTGTCCTTCCAAAGCTTAACATCTATTGTTTATGCTAGGCAAAGTAATATTTCAGAGTCGTAGTGGCCAAATCTATTACAATATCGAACGATGCATATCACATTTATGTCTTTTAACCTGGGCATTGTGGCGCCAGGATAACCACAAATATATTCACAGTGTATAGAAATTTAATTTTCCATGTAGAAAGAAATGTGTCAGTTCAATTCTATACGGAGTAACAGTTTGAAAGTATAATAAGATCGATGCTAAATTACTTTCCATATTGTCAGCTGCTGCTATCAATTTTTGAATTAACAAATTTTTTTTGTAGATAAACGACGAATAAAGTCATGCTAAGAACGCTTTTAAGAAATACAGGGGAATTCGTACAAAATATTGGTATTACTATGATATTTAAAGTTTTCGTTAGGCATTTATCAGGTATTCATTCGAAGTCTTTTCTTAACATTGTATTTATGACATATTTATGATTTATAAACGTCAAATCCGTGCTGTGCTCAACCGACGATTATTTTTGAACTGGGTGAAGAGCTGTTGATACAAATGTGAACATCAATGAAGCATACTTTTGTACAACGCCATTACAGCGCCGTGCCCTATTTGCGAAAAATCTGTGTACCTAATTCATTAAAATTATCGTGATTTTACGGAAAAGATAGCTGTACTTTAATTGGCGCATTGTTATTTGCTAGGTAATCAGCAAAGTCAACTCTGGCGGATCGGTAAATAATCTAATCGAATTTGTTGACAGATTACAAAACAGGATACCTATACGGACCGTGTTCGTTAGTCGCACTGTTTTTGCCGGTCTGTTTGCTCAAATAATGTAGGCCTGGTTAAATATCGTTAATACCGACTTATAGAGCATCACGTAAAGCCGAATTCAATTGTGTTATTTTTCAATCTAATAACAGAGACAACTGCGTACGAAGAACACCTTACCTAATGTTGTTTCAAATGTCTATTTATTTACTCTTATGCAATTTGATATTTTTGTATCCTATACCTTCGTTAAATGAATTTGGATTTCGGTAAAAAAATGCTCGTGACTATTTTGTGGAAATTTATTTGCCAAAATTTACGTATATATTTAAAAAAAAAAATTGAATTTTAAAATATACGGAACGGAAACATTTTTTCCCGGTGTCACATTTGCGGATATTTCGTTGGCAAGGTAACATAATGCCGTGTATAATAATTAACGAAATGTGGGTATTTGTCTGCGTAGGATTGCGTGATTTTGCCGCCTGTCAGCATGACGCCCTGACATCCATTTTGATGCAGCCATTGGTAACCTGATCTGGCGGCCATTTTGAAATTCAATGCCGGGATTCTGAGCGACCGATTTTCAAATGCAATGTAATATTTGTACATAAGACAATCGGCAATAAGTAGAGCATAAAACATGCCACCGTTAAGAGTGAAACATAAACGTTGTTGTACGCTTTGACAACGAAGCAAGGAATAAGCGACCATTTGGCTTAGTATAAATTAAATAATGCGAATCCCGTTATTGAAGTGTACATGAATAAGTTCGCAAGAATTACGCCAAAATTTGTTATAGAAAGGTAGTTTTATCACAACACCATAACTGTAACAATGCATAAATGTAGTGATTTTGGAGTTCTGTTAACGTACAATCCGGAAGCTAAAATACATTGATTTCTATTGATTTTAGACATTGTCTCGTACAAATTATTATTTCTAATCGGTTTACCTACAAAAAAATAATATTTCAATTAATAACGCGGAATTAATTCAGCTGTGAAGATACAAAAAATCGTTATGAAATTAAAGGATTAAAGTCTTTAATCTTCTTTGTAAACACCACGCAGGCACCTACTGTTGCTAATATTCTTTTTTGTGGGAGGGCGTTGGGCAATTTCAAATAGGAAATAGGATGAACTCCAAACTTGAGTTTAAAATTGAAACAATCAAAGGATTCTTTCTGATTTAGCATAGCCCAGTGTCTTCAATAAAATTCGGGACGGCTTTGGTCGTAGAATGAGTACCGAGTCCAGGGATGAGAGCCGAGGCATATTTTATGTGCCAAGAATAAGTACCGTAATCGAGGTCAACAAACACCTTTCTCACCTTTCACATTTCTCAGCAATGTTATGCTTCACTTTGTAAATTATTGAATTCCTTCCATCTGACTGAACATGTAAATCGTCTATCAGATTTAGATATCTTGTTTGTGGGCGTGGGCTTTTGATATAACTTGGCATTGGATTTCAGTACAGACTGTTTCATTCGTGCCCTCAGGTTGATTGTCACAATAATGCCATATGTAGTTTACACTCCAGTCAGAAACTTTTTTTTTTAAATCGACACAATTCATCCTTAGCCAATAAACAAGTTGCACAAAATCAGTTATGAAAATTCGCAATGTTCATAATCTTCATATTGGGATTTTGTACTAGACTTCTGTAAAAGAATGTATACTGTAAAAAGTGATCATTTTAACTGAAACATATAAAAATTGTATATAACTTACAATTTCACAGTAAATCGATCATGTAAAGGCATGAACATGACAAATGTAGATTATTTAGCTTATTATATTTTCAATTCTCCACAAAATAAAAATGTACCGGATTTTTCTTGACAATATAATGGCGGAGCACTTAATCTATTCACAAAGAAACTGACATAACATCGAATTAAGAGTTAAATTATCACTATTATGAGAATAATAATCATGTATATACCAATACAATACAGAACAGGAAGCAAATAGTTTACAGTCAAATCCCGCTCAAAAGCTCATGTCAATTGTGATTACAACAATTTGAAAGTCTGCTGCTGGTTGGAAGTTTAAAATCCAATAATTTTCCATTTTATTGTGCAGATATTGGCACTGTACTTCTGCGCCGTATGAGACAAAAAATCCAATACCTATATTTAAAACAGATCACTGCTCGCTCCTGAAACTGACAAACGTTCTTTAACTTAATAGGTTATTTCAGCTCTTTGGATACAGGATTTATCCCTTGCTGGGTTGAATATTCCCAAAAATCCGATCCCGCTTACTACTGCTTACTACCTGGTCAATGTATATAGTTTCCAGTAACGTTTCTAACTAAATGAATTAACTTTTCACAGTGTCAAGATATTTGAGTCCATCTCCAGGTATGGGAATGAACACATATGGTATGAATATGATGGGAACTGGAATTGACGGAATGCATAAACCAATTTTACCATCATCCCAAAGAAGAAAAAGAAGAGTTTTGTTTTCGCAAGCTCAGGTATGAAAATCTGGAGTCAAATGTTTCGTTGAATAAAAGGAGTCCGATTTCTGGCCGATTTTGACTTGGTGTTTTCTGATCAATCCTTGGTCAACTTCTGATAAAATTTAAATATGAACAAAATAATGATTTATGTAGTCACAATCAGCCAATTTATTATTAATTACAAAATGGCGGGTACAAACAAAAAAAAACAATACGGATGGGCGTATATTGTGGATACAATCGAATTTAAATTTAAACCTCTTTTCTTCAGAACGACATTTTTCAATTTATTATGCGATAGTTGAATCTGATTTCTCTTTTTAAAGTTATGTACACCTATAGTAATTTCAAAACCGTTTATATATGTCCGAAACGATATATTTTTCAATACTAGCAAAAACTTCAAAAACGAAATCATCAATATCAATATGAATATCAATATGAATCAATTTATCATGTAAATATTTTACTGAACTACAAAAAAGTTGTTTTGTTACTGAAATGCATCCCAAATCATATTTGCTAGCCCGGGATATCTCCGACGTATTTGCGTTGACTAAATAAAAATAATCTTCAGTGTCATCTATTGATAAATGTCGATTAGCGTTAGCTATATTCTTAATAAAAAAAAGATGGTCAATGGAATTGGTGTTACTGGTTACGTTAGTTGGTATTTGTCCACTTGGAAAGAATGTAAACTTCATACCAAAAGAGCCATCATTTTTTAATTAAAATTTTTGAAATGGTTGATTATCCTAAACCCATCACTCCACAAGGGTGTAAGAAATTGGATAAGTATCACTCTGATTTTTCTAAAACCATCAATGCAGGGCATCGTGTTCAAAGATGTAAAGCTTGCCAAATAAATTTCACTTCAGGTTTTCGAATTGGAGCGACGTTTCAAGCAGCAAAAATACTTGTCTGCCCCCGAAAGAGAACATTTAGCACAAATGATTCGACTGACTCCAACACAAGTTAAAATATGGTTCCAAAATCACCGATACAAAAATAAAAGAGCTTTGAAAGAAAAGGGAAGTGACAGTGGCGGACAGGCGTCGCAAGCAACAGTAAGAGAATAAAGTAATTTTCACTTAGTGCTTTTCTTGCATTTTTTTATATGAAACAGTAAACATGCTTGCTTCTACAGTAATTACATTATATTTTCGAATGAATCAGCCAGGCAACTTTAAACGCACCTTGTTCTTCTACCGTTATTTATTTAATTGTCAACTCCGCAATCAAGATTTTCAGTTTCTTGCAATGGGACAAATTTTTTGATTTAGATAAGCGACTCAAATTTTTGTACTGAATAATTGGAAATTATATCAGTATTGCACGATATTAAGATTCGTTTTTGTTTTATATTTAGCCAAACCAAACCAGTGAAAACACTTCACAAAACCAAAGTCAGCATCAAACGCATGCGATTATACAACAACAACAACAACAACAACAACAACAGTACTCTCCGGATGTTACAACACAAGCTGGCATATCAGAAGGAACAGTGCAACACCAAACAAACGAATCAACTCTTACTGAACATGATTCTCGTTCGCCAAGGCGCGTGACAGTACCTGAACTGATAGCAGCAAAAGAGAACAAACAATGCAATGGTACATCCGGGAGTACCCACATAACGAACGACGTGGTGGACGGAGTGGAATCTGGGAATCTTAATTCTACACAAGAAGTAATGAACAACGACACAAACTCCGGATACTCGTACACAAACGGTCATGTCAAATCCGAAGGCTGTACGAACATCAGCGATCAATCTTTGTGCGTCGGAACACATTTGATTTCGCCATCAATTCAAGGTCATTACGCAAGCCAGTCGGATCATCAAGACCTCATCAGTGTAAATGTGGCATCACTCAATTCAGATAATTTGTCAAGCATGCCGTATCATCCTTTGCCAAATGCACATCATTCTCTAACGGCTGGAAACAACTCATTGCTGTACAGCATTTACCGATGAGAGATAATCAAAATAAGGCTCCAACTGTGTCGACTTAGTCTGTTTACTCGATATGAAATATCTCTCAGCATACAAAAACATTGCAAAAATGCCGGCATACGTATGTCAGAATGACCATCCCGGTGATGCCCAGTAGCTGGCATGAAACTGGCGATTCTTGACAATCAAAAATCAGAAAAATTAGGATAAAGTTGAATAAATCACGAGTCATATTGACACATTTATCTTGCTACCCTCTACTCAAGCGCACTCCAAAACACGTCGTCATACTGTGACTACATGTAGTGTTTTCTTACCGATTGTAGCTGCCTATGTAACCAGCTGATTTTGTAGTAAGATCTGTGAGTCTGATAACGCCATTTTGGATGGTCCTCATGAGCTACACTCAAGCAGCCCACTGTAAACTATTATCAAGTAGTTGGTGAGCGAATAGATTTTGGTTTCACAATATGACACAAGGTTATCGATGACTAAGATAAATGGTGCAGTTTTTTTAAAATGTTTGCCATCGACTTTTTACGTGAGAAATCTAGTTCTTGGCAATCAATCTCATACTAGAAATATACCCAACTATGGTACAGTGTAACAGATGAACTGTTTACCAGATGGAACAGTTCACAATACGCACACAAACGATTTTTACAGTCATTTTTATTAGAACCTTGTCTGAATTCGTACCGTAATACCGTACTAGAATAATATTCCATGACATGAAAAATGCCTTTTATGCTAAATAATTTGTATAAGTGTTGGTTAGAAAGGTAGAATAGATAGAGTGAAAAAATTATTATTAACATTTTTGACAATCAAATCTGTATTTTTCTTTTCAATGGGGAGAGTGATACCCATGACAAACATGTAGAATGTTTTTTGTCGTAGTCAACTTCTTGCCACAAACAATTCAAATGATTTTTTTCTCTTTTTTTTTTTTAAATTTGTTCCATTGTGACTATTCTTTGTTATGATATTGCGTCGTGTAACTTTCAATCGTCAATTATAAAAATATTTCATCAATTGTGTTCATTTAGAATATTGGAGAAATATTAGCTTCGAGTTACAGATTGTCTCGCTATCAACTCATACCCAATCACTTACTCATAATGTAATCAAAAATATGTCGGTATTTCCGACCACAGGTGTTCAGTTTGTCCGGCGTTTCTTCCTTGTCGGGGGTGTGGAAGCAAATTTCATATTTAAATAAATTTATGCCTAGCTGATGTAAATATGCGTGGTGGGATATATTCCTTTTCGCACTCGACGGTCAACGTTGCCGTGTTTAAAGTCCAATAGTATTCATTGAAAATAAGTCTTGTTTTAGAGTAATTACCGAATCTGGCAATATTGTACAACATTGGTAATCAAATACTCCAATTCCACTAAATTGTTTCATTTCTGACGCCGTGATGTTGATGGCAAAGTTGTTTGTATATCTGATATGTCGGTCAAATGGGCTCGTATTTTAATTTCTTGGTTTGCCTGTTCCACTGCAAACGTGTCGACAGGATATAGACTGTTTAAATCGCGTTTCTATAATAAAATAAAGTTTACAATAAAAGATTCGTCAGTGATTTTTATCTATTCCAAACAAACGAGGATGGACCCGCTTATCTTGTACAAATACAAAATTCGTTCGTTCGCCTCGTTGGGATTGTAGCGATATTATGTTTGTACTGAAAGACTTAATATAAAACACACTCTAGCGCATATATGACAAAACGAAACGAAAATATAAGTCTGCAGTTGAATTTTTAATAAGACAAATTCACACTTCGCTAAAACTCATTTGTCAGAAAAGATTTGTTCAATTTATCCGTCTGGTAACAAAACTTTATTTTGAACATTAATGAAAATGAACATTCTCATCCGGTATTCTCAGTCTCATATACTTTTTCTTGTCTTCCATTGAAGACTTGTTGAGACCACCCATAAAAAATCACGACCAGAGACAGATTCAAATAAAAACGCTATTTTGAGGTTTCAACTTGAAGAATCTGGTGTTGTTATATATATACCTTCTTTTCAAAAAATTTTAGATTTGTTAATGGGACCATTGAACAGATTACCGAACCAGTTTGACCGTATTTCAGTCATGCAAATAAAATATTATCTTCATATTGTGAACTAAATGAAACGGAACGCGAAACTCAAAATTTGAAGTAAATGAACTTAATTAATGCTACTACCAATGTCTTTCAGCCATATTGTTATCTAACGTAACAAATAAAAGATATTAATAGAAACATCCTAATATGGGATCGAATAATGTTTGTTAATTTCAGTATATTTGTGCTAAATATGGGTTTTATAAAGGTAATTTAATTTTGCAATAAACGGGTACTGATAAAGTTCGAAGTGAGTTTCGAATGAAAACAAACCACTAAATCTAATACAATAGTGACGTATTATCGCTAAGCTTTGTTAAACATAACAACCAGTTTTATCCCATCGACAAAAACCAACAGACTGTAGGCGGGAAAGGTTGATGTCATAATCATTAATAACTGTAGAAAATACAAATGAATGAAATAATGGTCTCAAATGATGATTTTGCTTCGTTCGTCTGGGCATGATAGAAACGCACATAGACGCAAATATATACTTGTGCCACATAGAAGGTTATCAAGTTCAAACCTCTGGGTATGGGTTATTTTTATAATTATTTCAATTCGAAATACTCACATATTTTCTTACTCAATTCTGTTGAAATATGGTGACAGCACATTTGAACCCACGTACATTTGAACCCATACATTTGCACCCGTATATCCGCGGGTTCAATCTATATGCGGGTGCTAAAATCCATGATTTAGGGTTAGTATGGGTTCAAATATCCGTAGGTGCAATAGTATGCAGGTGCAATTGTCGTGGGTTCAAATGTGATGGAGCCTTGAAATATATATATTTTTTCAAAATCGACGGCATCAAAAATAACACACCTTCTCTTGGAAATTCATATATAAGTTAGGCCAGTGACAAAACCCCACTGGCAGTGTACAAATGTATACTCATTTTCAATTTTATCTCGCGGTTGTCCTGTCGAAAAAGTTAGACTTGAAAACTGGGGTTTTCAGTGCATGATCTTCAACTGATATATTCTGATTTTATTATTTAGACATGATCGACCCCACACAGTATGTTTTAGATCACAGTATAAAAGCAACTGATTTACTGTTTTGATACTAGGATACAGCTTTGTTATATTTTTCCATGCAGGTCGGTTGTTCTAGGCAATGTGGCCGTTACTTTGTTTCCTTTTATCAACGCGTATTCAAACAACTGTAACAACAGAGATGTTCTAGTTGCAACATTCCCATCAACGTTTTACAAAAATAGACGCCCGTTCGGTGTGATTTGTTTATGTGCACATAGCAATAATTCGTTTTATAAAACTGCCATAAGCATTTATTTTGATGGTGCAATATTGGAAAGTATGTACCGTACAGATAAATCAATATCGTAACGATACGGTATAGCAAATTTACTGGGATATGACCGACAATTAATGGCAAGCGAAGGGGATGTTGATGGCGCCCTTTAATCTACAGTTAAATTTCATAATTCAATGCCCCTTCAGATTTTTCTTCCCGTAGGAATGCTTTTCAAAAACGTATACTGTTTTCTCTTCAAGCATTGAATGCCGACGACATAGGCCTAAGTTCGGTGTTGATTTCCTAGGCATGATGATGTCAGTGTGTCAGCTATTTGTGTGTTAACTGGTCTCACTAGAACTGTTTGAATGAACACATACATTTTCCAAGCGTGAATTTTTTATCACATGAAAAATTATTAAACTTGGTAAAGCAATAAATAGATTTAAAAATATTATATAGTGACCAGGGGCGGACTAAGCCCCTTTGGTGCCCTAAGCACTGGAGGCTTTGGTGCCCCCATATGTGTCTTTTAAAATACATATAATTAAGTGTATTATCCATCAAAAATACTCACAACCAACAGTAAAAAAATAAAAATTCTACGAACATTCTTAGGTTTTCTTACAATTTTTTGACTGTGAAATTTTGCTCATATTCCCAAAACTAATCCTATTCTTACATAATACATCTTTTACATTAAATAATGAACAACACAAAATTTTGAAAAGATGAAATTGAAATAAAACAATACCAACAGTAAGGAAGCAAACGATGTTTTTCGGTACATTTACTTGAATTTGATTCTGATAAATTTTCTCATATTATAAAAACAAGTCTCTCTCCATACTAGATACTACGCCACTGACATTACAAAGGCACCACTAACATTTGAAAAGACAGAAGTCTTTCACTTACTTTTGAAAAGTTTTTTCCTAATTTTTTTAGCTGCAAAGTCTTTGATTAGATCCTCAAAACTAAGCTTATGTAACACATCTGCCTCTATCTATACTCAACAGAGATAAAGCATCTAGTATTCTAGTCTGTCTTGTTTCATAGTTGTTCTGTATGGGTTTTTAATATACTTCAGCTGAGAAAATGAACGTTCTGCTGAACAATTTGTGATCATTAATGTTAAAAATATTCGAAAACTATTGTCTACATTTGGAAAGGCGCACGCAATGTTATATTCTACAAGAATTTTGTAAAGTTCAGCATGACTGAATCTTGATTTTTTTTCCTGTGTCATTGAATTTATGGAGCACATATAAATGAAACTGCTGAAGCTCAGCTGAGAAATTACTGTTGAAATCTTCTGGGTAAGCATCAATAAGCTTTTGACAACCCTGCGAATACCTGCCCTTCTCAGCAGATGAAGAGACATTTGGTTGCAGTGGTAGCGTGAGCGCTTCATAGCGTTCAAATTCATCTCGTGGAATGCGCAGCTGGCCTCGTAATGTTGCATACAGATGCGCGCATGTTTGTAAGTCTACATTCTCACTTTGCAGAACTTGACTTACTCTGTGAAAATTCTGTAAAATTTCATTCCAAAACAATAACATAAAACGAAATCCAGCTCTTGCATTTTATCTGCAATATAAGTAGTCTAGCTGCCTAGGTTTGCATCAACTGGCTTAGCAGAATATGATTTCCATATATTCTGGGAATTGTCTCGATTAAGACTCATGCGTCAAGTCTCAACGTGAATCGAAATACCAGATGAACCGAGTACAAACTGCAGTTTAAAATTTTACCAGTACTTATTAGTCTAGTCTACCTTACCAGAAAACTCCCCAACTTCGCTGACCTCTAGATCGCTGAAATGCGATCGCGGAACCGCCACGTAGTGCACCATTTTTAATTTTGATGTTGTCGCTACACCAAACTTTCGACAAGTAAGTTTCAGTGTTCATCACTAATGTACCTTCCCCGAGCATCAACCTCCTTGTTGACTTCGAGTAATTGGCCAATCAGCAAGATGCAAAAAAGTGACGTAACAATGCACCCTTTTCGCATCCGCAACTCAGACAGATTTTCAGGCATGGTTGTAAACATTACCTCGTTTTCGCGTTTTTTATCTCTATTCGTTAGTTTTCAGTTGTGTTTCGGAAATTTGAGTATAAATCAGATAATTAAATGATCACCATGTCTTTTTATAAGTTTTAATTCAATTGCAGTAAATGAAAAATTGGTGTAAAAATAGCTGTGTTAGACCAGGCTAAAATTCCTTACCGGTACTTATAAAAAGGTGATTATTGTACGCCATGGAACATAATGATGGTCTCAACAAATACCCCATTTTACAGGGGCCAACTCGCGAAACCACTCTTAAAATAAGCCCCGAGAATTTTGCAATTGTAAAGTATAGGAAGAATTTTTCGGGGGTCAAAGGTCGAGGAAAGGTCCATTGATGTACACGATTTTTTAAAGATAGTTCGCAAACCTCCAAACATTGATCGAGAAGCTTAATATGATGCTTGAGGAAAAGAAAATACGAACAAGTCTGAGTTGTCTGTTCAACTCGTAATATTTTATTAAACACCGATGAACTATTGAAAATTCTGTTATAAAAATTTCTGTGGTGCCCCCCTTTGCTTGGTGCCCTAAGCACGTGCTTATATTGTTTACTGGTTAATCCGCCCCTGATAGTGACCTAAAACAAGTGTATATATGTGTTAAAATACAATGTCAATCAGAATCGTTCACGCCAATCTATAAGTCGATGTATTGGGTCGTTTTGGGGGTTCTTTCTGAGTTAAGCGATAGTCAGGGTAACTCTTTCACAGCCAAACACATCCTCAATCATATGTTATCATTAAATTTCATCGCAATGAAACTTGCCGCCAACAAATAGTTTATATTTCATTGCGCGGACGAACAATTGAAACTAAAAATATAACAATAGAATGTCGTCTATGACACGTTTTCTCCCACGATTTTGTCGCATCACCCGAACTACTGAATATAAAACATGATGATTCAAGATAAGGGACATAGAAATCTTTCAGCGCTCATAAGTTAGAAACAACATCCGTTAGGGCTTCTTGGAAACTATTGAGTAAAAATTATCATTCAGTCAGTCACTTATTTTCACACCAACATATGATTAATACGTTAGGTGTTACATATTTCTTTTTATTTTATAAATTATTTTAGGAGGCTAACGGAATAATAAAATATTTTTTTCAGTAATAGCTTACAAAATCAATTTTTGACTAAAAATATAAATTAATGGGTTTATACGCACTAAATTCTAATACTAAAAATACTGAATAGTTGTGAATTTGTAAATTACAGCCACATTGTTTTAATTTCAATTTTCCATGACTGCAAATTGAGGTAAAATCGCACCTGTTCCGTAAAAATTCCCAGCTTGTAGACTAAAACAACGAGATCCGTCATTTTATGTTATGATATGCGAGAGGGCTAGTCATTGATATCAAATCATAAGTGTCTACGTCACTTTTCTCCCATGCCCAATATGATTCAAAAAATCCCGCCACCGATCAATTTTTCAAGTGGGTAACAAAAGCCTATATGATCTGTCTAAACTTCCGTAGGCTGTGTAACTTCGTCATCATCAACTATCCCACAGCATTGGGAAGAAGTTATTAAACCTCTTTGGTTATGCCTGTATCTAATTTAGTAACATGATATAATTATAATGTATTCTGCGATACAGGTCATAGTTGTCAAATTCAAAGATTACATTTTGTTATATAAGTGCTCGTTTCGCTTGAATTGTCATAAATCTGCACGCAAAAAATATCCGAAATAATATTTTATTTGTCATTAGAATATTTGCATAATATTCAAAGATTGTTTTGTAATTTACTGAAGTATGAAATAGATGGAAGTCAAAAGCTGATAACAGTATGCCAACTGCCATCAAATAGCATTATAATAAGAAATGTTGGCTGTGACGTTTTGACATGCTGACAATAATTCATGAGAATAAAAAGTAAGACTGATGTGTAAGGTGACTTCTCATTTATTCTAGACCGGATCCCATACTAGAAAACGCGAAAAAGTAACAAAAATTGACTAAAATATTGCCACCGACAAAATAAAGTAAATTCGCGTTGATACTATTTGATAATTTATAGATGAAACAACCCTAGAATCAAAATAGTGCCAGCAGTATAAAAAACATGACCTAAAATATTACCTGAATCACATTGAAAGTTTTGATAAAAAAAGACTGTCGTCTTTCGACCTCCGTCTGGTCGGCATCAACAAACTGCAGCAACTGTACTGAGACTGTACCCAATGCAGACATGTACGTCTGAATCGGCAGTGCGTCGCATCATCTTGAGTGGATTTAGAAGTGTTTATCTTGATATCATGAATGAATCAAAGCGGCTTAAATATTTCAGCCACGAGAGTGAAGTCAAATCAAAGACAAATTGTTATTTCTGGTGGTCTATTTGCTGCATGCTCGCACGATCAAAAGCTTGATAACATGTTCAGCATTGCATTGTTATTTTTAACTTCTTCGAGAACATTGGTAGCGACGGAATGATTTTAAACTTGTGGACATAACCTTTGATCCGCATTATGTGAAGCGACTTTATAATGTTAATGTGAAAAGCACAGTTAGGGTCATATCCCAATGTTGGGGTAATAATCTTCGAATATCTACTGAGAACAAATATTGTATCTATCGCTGCGAAAACCAAGTCTTCTGCTTTCCGATCGAGCATGCTTTTAATGTCAATCTGATCAAGCATGGTGTGCAATTGTAAATAAAAACATGGCTGTATTTGTTCTTCAGATTTCTAATTTCTTGTTCAATTATCAGAAATGAAGGACATACAGACATACAAGTCATCAGAATAAGGTATATATATACCAGACTATGATTGGCACTGATATTGTGTATGCCATTAATTATGGTATACATGATAGCGTGAGAGAATTCTCGATAAATATTTGATCTACGCAAACAGTGGGACGCCGATGGTCTGAGCCATTACTGAGCAATTTCAAAAATATTTAATATCGACTTGCGTTTTGTTAAACGAAATTCGAAAGCGCGGAAATATCATATTAAAATCCTAGAACGGGCCAAAATATTGGATATACCCGCTACCTGGGTTCTTCAGCGTAAGCCGATTTTTATACTGGTAACGTTACACATTGTATTCAAGACTGTCGCAAGTAAGAATGAAATCCGTTCGAGTCAAAATTGCCGGTAAAAACATGTGTGCGCAGTCACTTAATTAATACCCATCGTAGTTTGGATATACGTCGAGCGTAGTGCGACATCAGCGCTGATAATAGGTCTGAATATTTCTGTCCTTATCTGCATTCTTGTTTACTAACCGTACACACGCCTTTTCCGGTTATAGCGTGTCGGATTTGATAGGTTGTGCACGGTGTTGTGACCGTAATGAATTTCGATCCGATATTAAAGATAATACACTACATCAGGGTCCCAAAGATATACGGAAGGTTTTAATTTTACTGTTATTTGATTTACTACTTCTTCATCGAACCAATTTGAGATGTTCGAATATGAAATTAGAACTACGGGTACCACAAAATTGCGAACACTTCCCTTGTCGCTCAACAAGAACGCCAAGCTCTATTGTTACTTGCTAGTCTTGACGAACCCTACACATTAAATGTTAAAAAGAACGGTTACTGTCGCTCCAATAGGCGGGTAATACCGTGTTTCCCCGAAAATTAGACTGGGTCTTATTTCAATTTGCTTCCAAAAATTAACACTAGGGCTTATTTTCTGGGAATGTCTTATATTTTTATTTATCAAAAAAAAAATTAAAAAGTGGAGAATTACGAGATTTTCAAATATACAAAATGTGAAAACCGATATTCATTTACTTATAAATAACACAAAAACATTTATCAATCATTTAAAACGTGTAGGAGAGATTTCTTGCTATCGACTTGGTCAAAATAAATCTCGCTAGGTCTTATTTTAAGTAGAGGGCTTATATTAAGATCATTTTTCAAATTCAGGCTAGGTCTTATTTTCGGGAAAACACGGAAGGTACTATATAGCTTTAAATAAGCTTGTGATTATTATATATTTATGATGAAGTATTTGATACGATTGATGATTTTGACTGTTGATCGTCACGAATCGTGAATTCCAACAATGGAGGATTGTGACTCGAGGACACAAAAACGAAAATCCCTAGTTTAAAATGTGAGTAGACATAGCCCACCCCCGTGATAGGCCAGTTCTCTGGTATAGATAATAAAACAAAGATTTTATGAAATTCTGTAATGGTATAGTAATATGCTTTCAGATTTCTGACATGTCAGAGTTTGGGTGGTCTCGACTAATATTTCCGATTCACGGAAGTCAAAATATCATTGTTCTCATTTTAATTCCAAAGGTAAAGTGAAAAATATGTAATTGTTACATCACAACACTGAAGGAACTAAATAGATCACCCGCTGGTTAAGCACTAAAATTATGGTAGGGGCAGGCGCTCGCGCGATTGAGCCATTGAATGCAGACTAAGAATTTTGTGGTCGATCAGTAGATAAACAAGAGTGAAAAATAGGTAGCTGCAAAACATCTGGTCAAAAGCCATCAAAGTTAGCTTGACTTTCAACGAATCAGACGGTTTGGAAGATTAAGTGATATAAGCGTCATCACTGTACTAAATACCATGGATTTGTGTTGTATCACATTTAAAAAAAATGTATTTGTCTCGCCGCGCACGTATATTTTCCAATGTTGTACATCAAAATTGGTAAGCCATATGTCCAACGCCCAGTATTTCCAAAGAGAAACAAGTTGCAATATACGAGTGCATAATTGTTATGGAAAGCAATGCCAGATTATGGAAGTGAGCGCACAAATGTATTCCATGCCTCTGATGTCACCGTGTGTAAAAATATACGCTACATGATTATGCAGGGCTTCCACTCCCTCGCTCCAGAAAGACTTTGATATATAAGAGGCTGATATGCCTGTTCGGCAAAGTTGGACACATTATATTACACTATGTCGAGCTGAAGGCACGGGGTTTGAACACGAGTTGGCAGCACAGATAACCTCATTGCGTTAAACAGACGATCATAGCGCACAAACTTAATCACAATGCATTGCAAACAGAAATATCGTCTATCAAATGATAGACCAAGCATAATAAATTGGTTTGAAACTTATCAGACTCAGTCGAAACTTCCCAAAACTTATCTTATTATGTGGTATTCAGTTAAAACTTCAGTAAAATAACACTCTTTGATGTTATACCTCGCTCCTTTGGCCGACCCAATATCTTCATTTGTTGTGATAAGTGACGATTATCGCCCTTTTTGTCACTTTTCGTTGGTCTTATGTAGGATAGAGCGTAAATGCATTGTCTGGGATGTTTGTAAAAACAATCCCGTATAATGGGAAATACCAAATATATACGGGAAATTTTTCGAATGAATGAATCAATGATGCTGGTAAAACTAAACTTGGAAATCCAACTAACAGAGTTCCATCGCAGGCTGTAGTGCTAGGTGCGCACACGATCAATATTATTTCTTTAAGAATTCTTTTTATAATTAATTTCGAGAGACTAGTTATTTTGACGTCATAATGTTCAACTGAGATCTCAGTTGCATGGTATTTAATAAATTTAAATGTCATAATTATCAAAGCATGAGTTGCTGCGAAGACAGTGAAAGAGAAAAGATCGTAATCGAGGTAACTTTATTATTTTAACTCACAATTATTAGTTATTTTTCATTTAAAATTTGTTTCAAGAAAAGATCATAAACGCAAACATATAAATAGCCGGTAACCTAAACTCAAAACAAGTAGTATACATTAGATCTAATTGAATGTTATTTAAACAAACTAGGCATTGTAAACTTACTGGATCATATTAGATTTTTAAAATTTTTTTTTGAAAATTATGTAATTATCTTCTAGCGCCAAACAGTGTAGGAAAGTGAATTATGTAGTCATGTTGACTTCAAAGAGTACATGTATTCTACGCGCCAGTGGTCAATTTATTGAGATAATTCATTTTGCCTTATTGTTAGAAATTTCAAATTTTCTTATTAATAACAGTACCTGAAAATGGAAAAAGTGTTTTGCAATTTTTATTTCAGTCAAGGAACGTTTTGAACTTTTTGATGGAAAGAATAAGAAGAAGTGCCACTGATATTGACTCTGGAATTGACAATGAATATGACGATATATCTAGGTGCTTGAAGATAAGCAGTAACAATTCATCGAAACCTATATTGCAAAAGTACAGATCCACCTTCTTAAAAAAGGCGAAATCAATCCAAAAATCTCCCTCTCTTGCATCACTATATTGGAAAAGATGGCGAAGGAGATTTGTTAAAAAATCGATTTTATGTCTCATGGGACAGAAACGCAATAAAGATGCAACGTTGTTTAATTGTAAGTTCAATGTTAAAACAATTGATAAGTAAGTGAATCAGTATCGAAATAAAAGATCTCACAACTCACAAGTACAAATAATAGATGTACAACCGTACAACCGTAAAAGTTTCAACTTCAACCAGTACTAGCTTCATAGAATGTAACTGCTTTTGCCTGTAGGATGCTATTCATATGTAATTTAGTTGAAGTTTTTTGTTTTAGCTTGCAAAAGTTCAAAGAGGAAGTATGTGAGACGGAATCCGAACCGAAGAGTTGAAAATCACGATTACTCTCGGGAGCGTCGACGCACACATCGTGCGTGCAGAGGAGGTCGGGGTAAACGAAAGAGAAAATCTAATGAAGTAACTGATTTTCTGAAGAACTCAAATCAGTGGGATGCCGTTAGGGTTCTCAACGAGAAGTCGCGGCGGAATAAAATAGATTTTAGTGCCAAAGGAAAGAATACGAAAGAGAAAATGGCCTTGGAAAGTTCCACAAGGAAACAGACAAACAGGATATCTAAATACGAAATAAAGTCCGAATATGGTCAATGGGATGAACATGAAAATAAGCGTACCAAAGACAACTCGAGTGCAAGACGAAAGTACGCAAATCCCGAGGTGCCAAGTGAATTTTCTATCAAAATGAAATATTCTGCTTTAACTAAGCTTGAGCAGGAGCGCCATAGGACGGATGTGAATCAAATGAAAAACATTCGATGTAAAAAAGAAAGTGTTAGAAACAGAAACCCAGAGGAATTTGAAACAAAACGTCAGGGTGCAAACAGACAACAACTGACAAAATCAAATCCCACTGATGCAAATACGGAGAACGAAAGTTATCTTCATGATATATTCGTTTCAACAGGAGCAATATTTGATCCAAGTGTAACAGACATTGACACATCACCGGTAAATATTATTGTTATTTATGAGCCTGACCCAACACGATTTGAGACAATAACCAAATTTTTGCTTGTTGGCAAGGGAGTATATCCAAAATTACCACATAGGTCTCCTGTTCTATGACGAATTGCATATATGCTTACCAAAGATACATATCAGAAAACAGACACACTCTCAATATAGTCGAAGAAGCTTATTGTGCCAATTGACGGGAATACTATTTTGACATTTGACCTTAGTATCGATACTAGTATAGATTCTGTACAATGTATTTGAAAACTGCTCTCTTATTATTAATACTATAGATCCATAGGACCTTTCCCCGAGCATCGACTTCCTTGTTTACTTCGTGACATTGGCCAATCAGCAAGATGCACAAAGTGACATATCAATGCTCGCTTTTCGCATCCGCTCAGACACTTTTCTCACTCAGACCAATGACATTAAACATTAATGTCATTGCTCAGACAGATTTTCAAGCGTGGTCGTAAACATTACTTCGTTTTCGCGTTTTTGAACTCTATTTGTTAGTTTTCAGTTGTGTTTCGGAAACTTAAATATAAATCAGATAATTCAATGATTACTCTGTCTTCCTAGGAGTTTTAATTTAATTGCAGTACTAAAAAATTAGTATAGAAATAGCTGTGATACCTTAGGCTAAAATTCTCTAACGGTAATTTTGAAAAACAGATTGTTGTATGCGAATTTAGGGATGGGACGAGTCCGGCATTACAGAGATTCGACGGATCCGAGTAATAGGTCAAGGACTCGAATCGAATCCTCCGAGTCCGTGACGTCACAATGTAAAAGTAGAAAAACACGTTTTTGAACATACTACAGCATCGCGCGCTCACAAACATACGTCGTAGCTCATATTTTACTCCTAATGGTTCCGCAGATAGCTGTTGGATCAATTTAAAAATATATTTTTCTTCTTTTTTGGCGATCATAATACACTGGATTTCCAGCCCACCACCTTGCGTCGATTCTGGGCGGCTATTTATAAATTCTTGGTGACCGTACATTTGAACCCAAGTACATTTGAACCCATGTGTATATCCGCGGGTTCAATCTATATGCGGGTGCTAAAACCCATGGGTTAGGTTAGTATGGGTTCAAATATCCGTAAAACAAAAATTTTTTCTGTAGGTGCAATATTATGCAGATGCAATCGTCGTGGGTTCAAATGTACGTGGGTTCAAATGTAATGGAACCGAAATTCTTACATGTCAATATGAAAAATAAAAAGCTTTTGACTACAATACTTTGCCATAATTTCAGATATTTCTAGCCTTAAATCTACTATGTCGCGTGCGCAAATGGTAGAGAGATGCCACTCGTCGTCAATACAATGCTTGCAATTTAGTAGTTCATGTAAACGTTCTAAAACGCTCCATGCTTTCCATTGCTCTTATTTTAGAGAAAAGATTGCACGGAATAAACACGATTTAAATAATTAAAGGAGGTATCGATGAGATTCCCTCATGGGTTGATCCTGCGCACATATTTTATTGTGTACCACATGTATACCAAAAAAGATAGATAGTTTGAAGGCGACTGGCGCATCATTGTTATAGGCTATCAATAGTTTTTAACTTGCGTTATATTATCTGGATATCTGTCGTCGTTTTATTAGGAGTGTTTATAATACACACGAGTGATATTGTTACATATCTAACCTTGAATTTCAACTAGTTAACGTATGTAGTGAGATTTATAGGGGTAAAATTACAAACATAGCCGTAAATAAGTAAAAACAGAATTGATTATAGACTCGGTAGAAACGACGTGGACTCGAAATCGAATCCGAGTCCAAAAAATGCCGGGATTCGACTCGAATCCGAATCCCGGCCCATCCCTATATGCGATGAATCATAATAATGGTTTGAAACACATACCCCATTTTACAGGCTCCAACTCGCAAAAGCACTCTTAAAATAGTCCCGAAAATTTTGCAATGGTAAAGTATGGGAAGAATTTTTCGGGGGTCAAAGGTTGGAAAAAGGTCCATATAATACTAACTTCACTCGGGCAATTTTTAGCTTCTAAACTCGTCCAGCAACTAGTTGTATGTGGCTGACTACGCTAAATCTAATCTACTAGTAGTTTATGGCATGAATCTGTAACTATTTATATTTAGGCAACCGTTTGCAGAAATATGGAAGATCTCGACACATTCATACGGCGGAAAGTTGATTTGCAGAATTTCATAAAAGACCACCAGCAGCAGAAGGCATATTTTAAATGGAGCGCAGAAAAATGTGCAGGAATCGAAAGTAAAAAACGATGGCGTCTACTGAGACTGCAGAAAAGGCTTCAAAAGATTAATGAAAAAATTTGTTCAATAGATGTAGAGCTTTGCCAAGAGACTATTTTATCTAATGTGCCAAAAATAGTAACGTTATGAAAATTTATTGTGCTGCGTCTATGAGTCTTGGTGGATGCTGACAAATTTCGAGTGTATCTAGCTTCCGTCATGTAAGTTTTTGATCAGTATTCCTAAGGATGAAAGCGCCTAAAACCATTTAAGCGGTGAGCATTATATGAGATTGAGTGCGAATGGCGGACGTTCGTTTTATACAAGCAGCTGAGACTCGCTAAACTGGCTGTCTAAACTCTAACGGCAAAGCACTATAGGACCGGTCGCGTCATGATTCATGAATTACACTAAACCAGGGGTGCAGAACCTTTCTTTCTTCAGACGACTGCATTACGTTTTTATAAATGTTCTACGGCCGCCAGTGAAATCGAGGTCTTTTATAAGTCATATTTAATTAATTAAAGAATTGGTGTTTATGATATATATATGTATTTTTGGTGTACGTCTAAAACGTTTATGAAACGGTAGAATTTAAACAAATATACTGAACAAAAGTGTTTAAGGGTGACCAAATATTTTTATCGAATCGGAAAATTTTAATCAATGCGATATATTCGGATAGTTTAATGCTATAACGCGTGGTATTTTCGCAGCGCAGATGCTATTCAAGTCGCCGGTTGTTTTGGTCAGCTTGACGCCGTTATCGATTTTATGTCGGTAAACTATATTTTTGGAAATCATTCCATCTCAAAAAAAAATCGTTATTTTGCAATCATGGGCATGTAGACGCTAAATATACTTGAAAGGATGAATCGGCAACTAAAAATAAGGGCGTGACCGCGTGAATATTAGGAATCTAAAATGGCGTTATAAAATATTAACAACATGAACGGAACACACCGTAACTTTTGCTTTCGGATTCCGCGCCAGATGTTTTTCTAACGGCGATAACGATTTCGCTAGATCACAGGCATAAGAATCAAATGTAATTGGACAAATGAATTAACTCATCGCATTGGATGATAAAGACTTTTAATTTACTAATTGAAGGAAGCGAGAGTTTGTATAAAAATATGTCAAAAAGTACTCATGCAAATAGATATTTCAACCACGACGTTAGAGTGTGCACATCACTGGTTATGTTTACTTTTTGTTTTGTTTACTAAGTAAAACAGAAGCTAATCAGCCCCGAAAGAGTAAATTGGCAATTTTAGGGAGTAATTCGTTCATTGTTTCAACAATTTCTTTATTATCCCCGTACTTTTGAGTAGTCATGTGGTTCCTAACGACATAATAACAATACTTCGCCGTACAAATTGTAGGGTAAAATGCTGAACTATCGCTAGTTCTTAAAGTCCGATCGGAAGATATAGGTGTTGTATCATTTTTGGTCAGAGAAAAAGTGATAACGATAAGACTCCTATGAAAGCGGTAATTGAGCTTTTGATAATTCGATTTAGGGGTAACGATATTAAAAGGTTTGTGAACCACTGACCTAAATGCTATAACACAAGCCCTGTCACACGACTTCAAATTGTTTTCACCACTTTCGTTCATCAAATTTTATTTATAATTCTACAAGTAAGCTTTGCCCGTGAATTTTACTTTCTCGTGTTTATGTACATGCTGTTTATTAAATTTTTCAGTATATTTGTCTTAATGTGTTTTCCACGTGTGTGAGTGTGGGTAAACAACGCTTGTAGCGTTCGCTATAAACCTTTCTCTAGGTTTTGCTCATTTTTCCGATCTTTTAGTCGCCCTTGTCGGTGCTTTTTATTTTGTGTTCTGTGTCGTCAGGTTTTAGACGGAAGACCAAAATAAAAGTGTATTGTATTGTAAAAAAAAAAATTAGCACTGGAACCGTTACACCGACACAGTGGCGTAACAACGCAATGTGGCGCCCCTGGATCTTTGCGCGAAATGTCGCCCCTCAACACCGTCCGTAAAAGCTGAATAAAATTTCACACAACAGAAGAATTAAAGCAGTGAATAGTAAATTTTATCGAAGGTTCCAAATGCAAAGTCTAGTTTTCATTGAAGCAAATTCAGGAATTAGATCGTCAAAAGATAATGTCTTGACTAAATCACTTTCAATGGGCAGTATTGCTGGCACAGACAGCCTGCTTTCTCCCATGGTCGGTCTCAAGTAAAACTTTATCAACTTAGGTTTTGACTTCGTTATTCGCAGCTTGTGAAAGAAACGACTACAGTGAGGTAAAGCTTGAGACTAAATAAGGTGTTGATTCACATAAACGATGTTTGCAAACCACTGCAGGACGTCCAGCGCTGTAGCGTCTTTTAAATGTAAAATCACTTGATTGTACTAGTGCAGTGGTACTCATCCGAAGGCTTCCTACAGGGGCCACGAAGCATTCCGAGGGGGGTCACGACGTAAGACTAATAATTCATTATATAGCGACTACGTTAGCATACTTTCCACGGCATTTTTATTACCTGAATAGGATTATTTGCGATCACGTGGTGCGTGAATTGTTTGATCATAATGGAATTTGAAATCTACCAATGAAAATAGTTCGCCGGTAGGCCGTCTGGTCTAACCTACAGAATGGCAATTCCACTCGACTGCGAAATAACCTTCGCTAGCGTATCATAGACGCAATTACGAAAATGGAACTACAGTTCCGTTTTGAATGAACACATGAATAGCTGCGTTCCTGGGCCTTAAAGCACAGACAGATGTACTAACAACAACAACCGTTCCGTTGACTTTACCAAAGTAAATTGAGATGCCAGAGAATGCGATTAATGCTGCCATTGCTCGTATGTAATGAGCAATAAATCATTACGTCATCTGAACTCCAAAATACCGCGACAAAAATCACCCCCGGTGAAAGACGTTGGCATCGGTTTCTTTGCTGCCAAGTGAGTTAGATTTGACAAGAACTTACATTGGCTAAGTTCGGGTTTCTGTCGGAGCAAAAGCCAATATTTATTACCACAAAAACAAAAGTTATAAATCGTCTTGATGTTGACATTCGTCTAGCTATAAAAAAGACTACGCCTGATACGAGAAACCTCGTCAGACAGTCCTATAAGCGCAAGATTCCCTTTGATTGTATACTGGCGAGCGTTTACTTTCTTGTCAGTGGTTTGCTTTTGCATTCCATAATAGGTCGTAAACACATAATACAATCCAACACGTTTCGTTTTTTGGAATGGCGAACACGGAGACCGCGAGTGCAAATAGGCGCTGGAAGGGGCCCACGAGGCATAAAACACCTGGTTTAGACGTATATCTTGTGTAATTTTTTGGCTTCAGTGGTATATTAGGTCGTTTAATGTGACTGCCTTGGTTCATTTAAAACGTTTTCCCATTTCGTTTAAACTTTAAAACGTTTTGCCGCCCTCCAGCAACATGCCGCCCCTGGATTTATCCACAAGATCCAAAGGGTAGTTACGCCACTGCACCGACAACACGGCATGTAAACGCTCCCCGGAACATATGCATAACATTCGCCATGCATTGAAGAAGTCTCTCAATGGCGCTAGCATATCGATCACCCAATTCAGCTACTAGTCGACAGATTTCGATAATGTTGGAACACATTCTGTAACGAAATATCAAATTCACTGGGTCCGAAATTTTCAACTCGTAGAAGTCAGCAGTCGCAAATTCAGTCTCATTTTTTCTGAACTGCTTGGAGTCGAATGCACCCCACCAGGTACACTTCGAAAGGACATGCATGTGGGTAATTCACCTGCACAGGCAAACCTACCACAATCTTAAAACCAGTAATACGATCCAGTTGGACTGGCCAACAAGAGAGAAATGACTATCCTATCTATCAGCTTTGGTTTTTCAGGCCATATTTTGCAATGGATCGAGTTGGGTTATCAGCGCGGGTGGAGGCCAGCTCGCCATGGACCACTTGCCACGCGACGGCGGTTAACGGGTATGCCTGCAACTGTACGAAAGCTCTTCTTGTAATGCGAGATGAAAAGGTTGCTGTTTTACTTACAACTTAAATAGAGAGGATAAATATATCAAATTAAATGTGTTTGGTTAGAATACTGTGCAAGGGATAACAAGGTGACAGGAAAACGTACCGGAAGGCATACCGGTACCGTGTACCGACATGCAAATGATGTCTAAACTTATCATTTTCATCTAAGCATGCTAAATATATCATCATATTAATTGATTGTGTGAGCACTGAATCAACAGTATACTATCTAACCTAAAACTTGGTTGTTGCAGCTAAACGACCTAATTTGGAGTCACGTCAGTTGCCTCCCTGGGTTAACTTGTGTAATTTATATACACTAATTTCGTATATTTGTATTAGTGCAAAATGTCACCAACAGTGTTTACATAAATCTAATATGAAAAAACTTCTTGAAAATTTAATTTAACACCAATTCCTAATACATTACATTACTATATCCACGAAACATACAGATTGAAGCTAAGCTAGGTTTGTAGATGTTGCCTAGCATATTCCCATACAGTTATTGCACCACTGACATGAACATTTAAAGACCTAATAATTCCTTTCTGTGGAATTTGAACACAAACGTCTAGAATTTTTAAAATGGGTATCGGAATTCCTTCTTTTTCATTACCTAATACGACAACACATTTCACAGGAAATCTGAAAAAAAAAAGGTTTTATTTATATTAAAATGTAAAGACAAGCAATCACCTAAATACAATGCATGGGCTTGCAGTCATCCCAATATCTTATTTTGAGAATATCAACAGCTAAAAGTTCAAAATCCGTACCTGTATTTTGAAAGACAAACACTCTGAGCAGTCTGCTCTGTACCAATTAAAGTATATCCAGATTTTTTCATTTGCATCAAGTATTCTGGAAGTTTCCATGGTTTGACTTCTTTTAATGGCAACCATTTATGTGCAGTAACAGAAAGAGACTGATAAACTTTATCAGAAGTACATGATAATGATTGAACAACTAAAGATTCTGCGCCTGGAAAAACATAATATATAACAATATAATTAAAATACATAAAATTGTGAAAAGTAAAGGAACTTTAACTCTTTAAGATACCTGATGAAAAAATATATTTGAAAAGTCAAAAAGCCTTGCAACCTGACACCGCGTTTTTTTTTAAATGGTCCCAAAATTATTGAACTCTTAAAGAGACGAGAGATTTGCAGTATTAAAAACAAGAAAGAAAAAGATTTTCAGAGGCCACATATAAGTAATAAATGATGCATTGCAATAGTATTTTAAATCAGTAAATATAATAGGTTACCAAATATTTCACATGTTCTTGTGAGACCTCCAAGATTTGATGGTTTATCGATGAGAGAAGCCACAAGTACTAGACCTTTGTTGATCGATTTCTGTAATTTGAATAGGATCATTAAAGGTATAAAAATCTTTGAAAAGCAGATTTGAAAAATTTGAATTACCTCTGATCGATTGTCTGTAATTTCATTCACATCCATCCACGGCATGATCTTTTTTTGGACGTTATCAAGTCCGTTCATCAAATCATTATCTTCAGAATCAGATGCTCCATAGTTCTTCCGATATCTGTCATCAGGACTGACCACAATATCATTTGTGATTGGTTTAGCTTCTTGTCGAACCCAATGTACTGATTTTTTACGAATCTTATCAGTGGTATTGAACATTGATATGCTAAAAAACAGTTTTATTAAGATTTTTTCAAAGCAATATAAGCAGTGGTGGTTTTTTGTCAGCCGGTTCCATCACACAAATGTCATATTTTCAGCCGGTTCTGTCACAAAAATCATGTTTTTTTTCAGTAATGCTAACCGGTTCGCTGATCTCATAAAATTCCGTGAGACGGTTCTATAGAACCGGTGCGAACCGGCTGAATCCCACTACTGAATATAAGGTATTGGAATACATTCACAGCAGAGTGTTTCGAATTTCCAGCACACTGCTGATAATCTTTCACAAGTTTCGCAGGTACAGGGATTATAGATATTCAATTATTTTTTTTGTATTATTGACAGAATAATCTTCAGCCATTGGATTGAAACATTTATCGAGTGACATAATCAGCATATTGCTCTCACTATATACAGATTCACTATTGTGCTGTGAATTGTTTCAGATCAACTTGAGAACCATTGGTCAAGATCCAGGGCAATTTATTTCTAAACATCATTTCAAACATCTGAAAAATCTATATTATAGAATAATAAATCATCTAAGATACATTTCGCGAAACAAAACTATTAAATCTATCATATTAATTCTGGAAAAAAATAATTTCGAGTCTTATTTTATACATGCAACATCAAACAAAAGAATTAAAAAATTTCCGAAACTTACTGTGATTTGAAACAGAAATTACCGGAACTTTGATATGATTGTGCGAAATGAAATAAATCTTCTCGAGTCACATGATTTTGAATTGAGAATAATCTTGGAATATCGACATATACAGTTTCGAATGACAAATCTTTCAGTGGATCAAGATCAAACAAGAGAAAGTTTTCCTGGGATAAAGACCATTGTTAGTACATGTTATTGATAGAAAGGAAACATTGTAAAATCGAAGATCTCAAGAAACTCGAAAAACTAAGGTAAAAAAAGATATACCGTATTTGCTCGTTTTGTAGCCCGGGTCCATATTTTTTTCAGCCAACTCATAACCGGGCCCTTATTCAAGCACGGGCGCTTGTTATTTTCGGTCGTTACAACAATTAATATATTGTTATTTCCAGTTCTCAAGTTTGATTTAAACGAGAATAACGAAAATTTTGACTTTTTCCATGCACCGCAGGTACAAATCCGCAAAGGAAGAAAAGTTTTGCGACGCCCTATCAATATTGAAACGACGCACTTGGCATCGCGATGCCCAGTTTGAGAACCATGGTGTTACGTAATCAATGCTATCTGTTATGTACTTGGACGCCTAAGGTGTGAGTGTTATCTACCGGCGCTTAAAATTCAACAGCGTTGTGACAAAAGCGCTTCTCATTTCTCATTGTTCTGCACCACTGAAAAATCAGCTTTTACATCGGGGGGTATTCAAGCACCGGCCCTTATTAATTTTTATTTTCTGTTAACACGGGCGGCTATTCGAACGGACCCTTAATCAAGATCGGGCGGTAAAACGAGCATATACGGTATGTAAACTAATCGTGTGGCGATTTAGGTATGCTCATCATTAATGTTATTGTCACTGACATAAACCAGCAATTGATTAAAGTACTCAAATATGAAGGGAGTGGGGGTTGAATGACTGGTTTTTAGGACTTCTCACAAACTGTTTGCTAAGTTACAAATCTCCCCCAACTTAGCCTTCATAAAGTTGATAGTTTGCGAACTGAACTTTCGAAAAATTTAAGCATGATGAGTTGGTGATACAAAACGACTCTTTAAAATTGTTTACTGACACAACACTTATCCTTACCTAGACTGTTAAAATACATGAGGCCATAAATCACCATATATGATGAGACTGATAAGTATTTGAAAAAAAAATGATCTCTACCTTAATTTTGTTCCAATTTTTTCCAACATTTCCTGTTGAAATATCAGCAAGTAACAAGCATGATGAGAGCGATGGATATTTATCCAATAGTATTTCACTCCTGCCTTGAGAAAAAAATTGAATTATTAACAAGAAATCTAACATTTTTATTTTATTCGTCGGGTAGCAAGTAGTCTTAAAATGACATCTTTATTCAGGTTCAAGAAATTTTTGTATCTCACATCACATCATATGTTTGTCATATTGCAGTCACCCAGAGTGCATACACTGCAATAGCTACAGTGGAAGTCTCTGTTGTTAAAGCATGTTTTTAGTCGCTAGAATTTAGAAAATAGCCGCCACAATTCAGTTAATTATTCTATTCCTAGAAAGGATTCCTTCAAATGCGCTGATCCAAAATAGTAGAAAAAGAACTGAAACAAAAGAGCGATGCTCAAATATATGAACATGAAGTAGTAGGGCTATGTAATCTATCACAGTAGCGGTGGCGCATCGCTGCTGAGCAACAAATTTGAACTTATGCAGAAGCGGAACGGCCACAAGCAGCGCAATTTTGATGACTTCATCACATACAAAAAACGGATCCCATAGAGGCCACAGAAATTGTTGAAACAAATAAAAGTAATAAATAGCCACAAAAGTAATAAATAGCCACAAAAAATTAACCACTGAAAATTTCAAAGCAGTTGGTTCAGTAGTTAATGAGAATAGCAATTATTCCACATGAATAAAAAGAGGAAGAAAAGAAATACCAACATGACGATCAATAACAAAACAATCCATAGATAGATACACTTAAGTAAAATGTGACTTCAATTGCAGGATGCATAATGAAATTCAATCATGAAAAACAGTCAGCTGAACCTACTTGTTTCATTAAAGTGAATTTTCATCCTTAAAAGCACAGCCATAGCATTTAATCTGATGTTGAAATACTGAGTCATGCACCAAGGCAAACAGAGATTTACTAAATTCAGAAAATATTCTTCCTGAAATATAGAATTACATTTGAACATAGATGGAAGAAGAAATACATATGGTTTGGTTATGCCAAAATAGTTGGATATATCAGAATTTATCATTAGAATTCATTTATATTTTATCAAGAGTTATTAGTTTATTTTTCCACAAATCCACAAAATACACTTTGTGAATAGAGAATAAGAAGTAAAAATGGCATTTTTGGGTGACGAGAGGCACAGGAAACCAATACTGCCTATCGAGCAGCGACACCTGTGATAAGGCTTAACAGTTGATAACAACAATTTCACATGAGTCAGATTAGAAGCAATGTGACCAGCAAAGGCAGCAATCACACGAATCATCTTTCCATAGTAATTGAGTCAGGCATTTCTCTTTCACTATGTTAGGATAGGATAGGATTTACATATTTATTCTGGGGAGAGGAAAGCCAATAAAGGTGGCTTAATCATATGACGGACCACTGCCCCTCGTCCGGTTACCAGTCCATGTCATGTATAGGATTAGATAGCCAGTTATTTGTTTTTGGAAGCATGGACTTGATGGTGATTATTCACATGAACCACCCTCTGGAGGTGAGGAGTCCAGCAATCCTCTCGCACATAACTATTCCCGCATGAGATTCAAACCCGCGAACCCACCCAGGATAATCAGAGGTGCAGGGGCGAGCGTATTCTTAACGCTTAGCAGGATGCGACACACCGCAACATGCAAATGTCGTAGTCACAACCAATGATGCAATAATGATTATGTGGGCAAGATGGCCTAGCGGTGAAAGTGCTAGACTTAACTGTTGTGGCATTACAGGTTACACATCAGGTTTAAATAACAAACCCACCCCACCACTCAGGGTGTAATAAATGGGAAAAGCGCTTGCCGAATCCAAAAGACCCAGTCCTTTCAAAAATAGTAGTCGTTAGATATCAGTGTACAGGCCTTGCTTAGAGTGTAAATAAGCATCTTATTCAAAATACCACAATGAGTCAAAAGTTGGAAGCCCAGGGGAGGAACATGAATGATTCAGAAACAGGGCCATAAAAACCTTATGCTGTAATAGTCTATATAATGTCAGTGTCTGTATAGTCACTGGTACCATTCCTTTAAATTATACCTGAGGTGAAACAGATCGAATGCAGAGTCCATAAAGCAATGCCGAAATCAAATATGAACAAACTGCAGAAGAGTTTGCAGTTCCTGTTTTGTTACAATCCCCTTGAGACTCAGCCTTCAAATGTGACAACAATAAATCCTGGTTGCTGGGAAATCTGAAAAAAAAAAAAATGTGGAAATTTTGTGTGTGTTTTCATGCAGCGTTGCTTCAACATTGTCTTGTAAAGCAGGAGTGTGCAACCTTTAATACAGGAGGGCCACATACAAATAACTGGGTGAAACAGCGAGCTTAACATACAATAACATTATTTCAATTGCTACTTAGTATAAGTAGGAACAAAAAATTTAATGTTCAGCAAACCTGTATATTAGCAAGGCAATAATCCATTCCATATAGCAACGAACAGAAATTTGAGCTTCATTTTTCAGATTGTTCACAAGACAACTAACAATAGCACTTGACTTTCTTTCTAGATCAATATACGGCGTCAGCAACAAAATAGCTTGGAAAATTTTATTTTTCACTTTATGTTGAATTGAGTTTTGGTGATATCGGAGTTTTTTCTGGACAAAAAATGAAAGCATTCTGTAATTTGGTATTTCTTTTATACATGAAATAGGGATCATATGTCATGGAATTCATCACAAATTATTTATTTCAGGAAAACATGTCATATTTTGTTTGAAAATCGTGATAGGCTAAAGGATGAAATTTTCTATCCATCCATAGAGAAAAGGAAACTGGAGCAATTTAGGAGTGACCATTTCTCTGCGTGATGATCTTGCAATTAATATAGTAATTTGGATATGCAATTTGTTTCAATTCACTAATAATAATAAGTAGACAGGTGTTATAAAATACATTATTTAAAAGTTACGATAACCCAGTCAATTTGATACAAGGTAATAATCCATTCTATCTAACAACGGACAGAAGGTTGGTTCGTCGGCGAGCTAATTTAGTTAAGTATTCACAAATCACATTTGAATATGTCTATCTCTACTCTCTAGTCAAGATTAACTTGAAAAAATAATTTATATTTATTCTAAAGGAAGAAAAAAACCTACCCCAACTTATATAAAAGTGAGTACCGGTAACACTCCTTAACTCCTGACAAGTTTGCACAATTTTAAGTTTCGGAGTACCTTAGATATATTTTTATCCAATTCCAGTAACTTTTCCATGATAGAATACACAAGATCACAATCTGTTGATGAATTGGTATCAAGTTTTGAGAGCATTAAAATTGTAGCTAGAGGTACATGGTGAGAACTCTGACGAGAATCTGAACAAATAAAAAGTACTCTGAAATTTTCTGTCACAGGTGTTAATAAAATACCAATATATTATTTCTTTGTTGCTTTATCAACCACCAAATATTGATTATTCTGTCTCACAGACAGTGCCGGGAAAATGAAATGGTACTGGGCTTGCAGAGTCATTCTTCAATATAACTAATAGTTGAATTGGACATAGTGAAGAATCAATGTATACTAAGAGTTTAATCATATGGAAACATTATATGGGAGAATAATTTTCAACAGTACCTTAATATGGTTCAGACGCTGGGCAGTAAAATATAATACATATACGTCAAGTAAAATTTATCATATTCTGTTTTAAGCTATTACAGAATAGTTGAACTTGTCAAAATATTTTAGGGTTTCAAAAAATCCTCTTACCTGATTTATTTGAATCTTTATTCTTGGAAAGTTCTAAAACATTCAGTAAAGCCAAATTGTCTTTTTTGTGAACATGATCAAAAGTTAAACACTGCACTAAAAACTCAATATTGGAAGTAATCGAATTCGTTTCCAAACATGGAATATCACCTGACGAATTTACTGTTGTTTGAATATTAGATGTTTCCATGTTTTCATATTCAACATTTCTTATACCGTTTGATTTTGTCCAGATATTTATGTATACATCAACAGCATCTCGTAATAATCTAGGCCTGACACCTGACGAAGATACAATTTGAAGCAATAATGTTTTGATATTTTCATGCAATATTGAAGAATCTGGTTGAAGAAGGATTGATTTTTGCAGAAAGGCTCGGAGAAAAGCTTGGTAGCATTTCCAAAATGCAGGGGAACGTGTGAATGAGTTTATGGCTTTCCAAGTTGCATCCAAAATGCTACATATCAATTCTGTGTGGTCCTTTGCAGATTTTGTTGCCTGAAACCAGTGGTTGATATTATTAACTATTTAGGACAAATAGAGATTTCCAAAAAATAGCCATTTTGTAATATTTACCACATAAAATAAACTAAGTAGTGAGTATAGATATATAAACCGTAAGTATAGTTACTAAGAACTAGCTATATGAGCAGGATTATTAGAATACTTAAAAAAACTTACAGTATGTTAGATGAAACAATGCACTGGAGGTGTCGTGTCATAAAAAAGCCCAATCCAGGTACACAATAGTATTCATATTACCAGTTTACCGATCGAAAATACTTCCCATAGTATTATGAATAAACTTACTTTTGAAATAAGCGATCCAACGGCTTCAATATATATTGGTAAATTTTCATCAGTGACAGAATCAACCAGATTTAAAAAGATTTTCATTGCTTCTTCAATATTCAGTAATTCACTGTTATTAGCATTTTGTATCTGCACCGCGAAAAGCACACAAGACCATTGCATAACAGAATAGTCTTCCACAAGCTTTCTTTCATCAGTATCTTTGCAAGAAACTTGACACAATAAACTTGACTCAAGATCCAAAGACCCCAAATATTCTGAAAGAAATGATAAAATTCCTTTAATCAGAAAAAGAAATTTAGGTGTGTAATGCAATATAAAAACTGTATATATATGTATTCACAAAAAAAATTTCGATTGTAATTAATATTCAAGATAGGTTTAAAGTCAGTTAAGCAGCTTAACAAATATAATTAGAAAATATTACCAGTATAACGATTATCATATTATAACAATGGATTTATAAAAATCTCTCGCGCAAGAGGGTAGCAAATAGAAGGGTGATCATATGGAAACTGGACTTCCATAAACAGCATTCCACCCAGATGCCAGGCCTGGCTCAGACAAGAAATCGGTTCGCTAAACAGTCTTACTGAACCATTGTATAGATCAGGGTGGTCCAAGCTTGCCAGCTCCGCGGGCCACAAAATTATTTTTGCAATAGTGCAAGGAATAGGTAAACAGATCAATACTAACTTCAAAACTAACAATTCAAAACTAACAATTTTATTGTCCAAACACATTGATCAGTATTTGTCATTTATCGAGCTAAAACAAGCAAAAACCCACAAAACTTACTAAAACCTGCAAAGTCTTTCGATATCTACTTTTGGTGTTAGCTTTCAAACGGAAAAAGCGCTTCCGCAAATGTAAGTGAGGGTACTCCCGAACTTTGAGGGTAGTTACTAATATAAGCAGCATTTTTATAATTCTGTTTAGGCTGGTTGCAAAAAACACCCGACATGAATGATATTGTTAAACCAAAACATTAATATGTATTTAGTTGTCAGGCATAGCCAACCTAAGCTAATAGAATCCGCACTCAATTTCAAGTTCTCTACGATACCAAAATTGTTGGCATATATTCTTGACCAAAAAGATAGAAAGCCAGATAACATCAAGACTGCCAAGAACATCATTCAACTTCGCTAGTTGCCTCAGCTAGCCATAATACTAGTCAATTCAGTGACATTAGTGATGTAACAATATGTCAAAAGATTATTCTGGTTAAATTTATGACGAAACAACACCATATGCGATTTTTTGAATACTCTCCGAATACGACGCGGGCCACTTATAATGAAGACGCGGGCCACTTATAATAAAGACGCGGGCCATTTATAATAAAGCCGCGGGCCACATGTGGGCCTGAGTTTGGAGCACCCTGGTATAGATGATTAGTTTGTCCACAATTGATTAACATTTGTTTAGATAAATTGGCATAGTAAACCCTTGAATTAAATATGTTTCGAAAATTTGAAAAAAATAGAACCTACCTACTAAATAGGAAGACATCGAATTATTAAAACTCAAGGAAGCTTTTTGCTGAAGACAACATATCCATCTGAGGCATTTCAAGGCCATCAAAACGATCTTGAGATTTAGAAAATCTTTCTGCAAAAAAATGGTTTATATATCTATTTTTTACACAAAAAATAGAGCTTTTGTGCAATGTACAGATCACATATCACGTCAAATACAATTAAACAAAATTTCACACATTGATTATCTCAGTCATTGGGCCTTTGTTTTGAGTTTCTAACAGGATCAGGATATAGTTCAAGCAATTAGGAAAGGCCAAAATTGCACGATTTACTATGGTTTCATAGTAGTCTGCTTTATGACATCATTCAACTCCCATGCTAACTGCTATCTGCCTATATATATATATCTGTCGCAAAATAAACATATATGAAGCTCAAACATGTCAGTTGCGACTCTTCTATCAGCATTCTTTCCACTTTTAGTCAGGCTAGAAACTTTGTTTGAACTAAATTATATTTAAAAAAAAACAGATGAGGGACAATGGCAATCCCTAGAGGTATCATAAGTTCATAACTAGGGCTGGGCACTTCGAATCTGTCCAAAGCAAAATTTCGAATCGCCGCCTTCTTGTTTTTTTCTTTCCGCCAATGGTTGAGGTGAATAAGGTACCCAGTTTTTTTTTATTGTAGCTGTAGCCATATTTTTTCAATGCAATCCTGACATGTGAGATGGGTCTGTATTGAGGTATTAGTAAATAAGTGTTTTGTTATTGTGTGTGAACACCCAGCAATCTGTCTTAGTGATGCATTCTATGTTTTTAGTAATTTATATCTGTCTTAGTGATGCATTCTATGTTTTTAGTAATTCATTTGTTGTCCGGACCAATTACAATAAAAAAAACGCATACAATTACATACCTCCCATAGACTCCCAAGTATTCGAGATTCGATTCGAAAAAAAATATTCGATTCTGAAATCATCAGGTATTCGAAGATGCCCAGTCCTAATCAGAACACAAGTTTAGGTAACCAGGGAAATACTACCTGGCCTTTTTTCATTGATAAATACATATTTTTTGCTGCAGAGACCAAAGGTTCAAACTGGGCTAACAGCTGCTTTGGCCACTGACAACTTGGATTCAACTTGAGCAAGATATAGAATAAATTTTCCCAAGAAGTGAGACAAAGGTTTGCATCTTCTAGATTTGTAGAGCGAGATGGGAACTGCATTAGAATATATGCCTGGAGACTTCTGAGCAGCTGGAAATAGATGTTGTACAATGTTGCATTGCCTTTCAAAAATATAAAAAAAATTAAGAAATAATAAGATAGAGCAGAGAATTAATTTATGTAATTCCCTAATCTAGAATCTGCTCTGCAAGCATCAGGGCTGTGAAGTCAAGAGTCTGACATGTTGGAATTTCAACAGTTATAATGAAAATCAAAATTGTCTACAGAAACTAAAAAAATTTATGTTGATTATCACTACTAATTGATTAATTTTTTTTCGACTCAAGAGTTCAGTTCGTAAATTTTCTGTGATCCTGTATCCCTCTCAAGTACTAATTGCAGTTAGACTTTAAATGAAACTATGCAAGAATTCAGCTTAAATGAAAGTATCTGTGAAATTGCCAGAATACGCAGTGAAATCATAATTTATGTAAAATTTGACATTCACATGTGATAATCATGAAAAGAATACCAAATCCAATGATCAATACTAAAGTCAGAGGTTATTTATTTAAAACTCTCTAATACAAAAACAATAAAAACACTAACTTTTATCACTTTTTGATGAAGACATTGAAACGAGATGATTTAATAAAGAAACAGCTTTGTGAACTTTCTCTTTCGACAAATAAAGATGAGTAGATGCTTTTTCAATGATAGAATTCAAATATTTTAAAACTTTTAAGAAAAAGTCATTCTCAGATGAGCCTGAAAAATATATTAAAATTGAAACGATTTATAGTTACGGTAATTGCACAATTTTCATGCATAAAATTTCTCCATTATTAGAATGGCAGTTAGTGATGTTGAAATCGCCAATTACAGATTTTGAGTTATAGTACTAATGTGTGCAGTGGTCAAACCAAAATCAATAATACTCTATTAACTACTATGTATCAAGAAAGATAAAATAGAAAAAATCTTTTCAAATCCAATGATGTTATGTCATATACCTCAATTGGGTCTACAAGTTCGTTCACAGGATAGTTTAGGATTTCCAAATATATTCCACGGGACTGAAATAGGTAACCAGTTATTTGTTCAAAATGCATGGTGAAGCGACCTGCTGCCAATTAGAGGTTACATGAGCTACTGTATAGGAAGTTTCATCAAGCATTTTGCACATAATTTCCCTAACAGAAATCGAACACGTCAGGCTAATCAGATCCGTGATGGTTACATTTTGCTCAGCACTATGCGACGACCTACGAGAGGGGTCACGGTAAATCCAATATTATCAAAAATCTTTACCTGAAGATTGGGAATATTCAGCTAGCAATATCACGAAACTGCATGACTGTAATTCTGCAAGACATTCTTCATATGAATGCTGAATTAAATCATTTGATGATGATGCACAATATTTCTCCATTCCTACCAAAGCATATTGACATATGTCTTCGTATGATTCTGATTGTACTTCTTTAAAAGTTTTCCAATTTTTGACAAGCCAGTCTAGCATCTGCAAAGAATTTAAAAAAACTGAGATATCAGCAACAAAAGTAAATGTATCTGAAAATTGATTTAAAATAAATTACAGTACGTTTGAAAAACCAGCGAACCCACACACGATAATCAGAGGTGCAGTGGCGAGCGTATTCCTAATAGCTTAGCACGATGCGCCTTCTTCCTAAGTGAAAGCAAGTTGCTTTTATTTTATTACCTACCTCTGCCCGTAAATCCTGGTCTTCGGCAAAGATTTTTTTCATTCCACACAGAATAAATATATTTAATACCGTACTTCATCGAATGAAACTTTTGCACAATCCGTAAATTTCATCAGTGATCTAATCAAAATACATTGGATAATATTTCGCAGTCTTGAGTCATGTGACCTAATACTTTTCATTACCAAATTTTGAAGCAGTCCTACATCATCACTAGCCCATGCATGATAAGTAGGTAGGGATAATAATGCATGGCAGATATAATACAAAGGAATAGATCCCCAGTTGAAATCCGCAATGATTAACAAAATGCAATTAAGGAAATTGCTCTTGCTTTCAGATTTCAAGCAACCTTCTAAAAATTTTTGCCAATGACACGCAAGGATTGGAAACTCAGCTCCATTCTGTGGTGACGGCAAAGTGTTGTCTCTGTGAAAATAAATTTTGACATTCAAATTTTGACTGGGTCACAAATATTGGTTGTACTGTAGACATGCATGCGCTATTGGTTAGGGTTCTATCTAAATCTATAAAACAATGCTTATCCATAAAATTTTATCCGTATATCATACATTCATTTGGGCATGTTTTTATTGTTTTGGCCATCCCTAAAAATACAGATCAAATTTGAAGCCATGACATCTATCTCAGGACAATTTAGCACAATCATGATATCTGCATCAGAAAAACACAAATTTTTGTATAATAAAACAGTAATATCAATCATCTGAATACATTTCGAGCACCCAATCTATAAACATATCTTCTCTGTTACTATCTACACGATCTACAGTATTACCTGAAATCACAATATAAATTGAAATCTCTCAAAGAATCAACCAAATTATGCAGGAATTCATCTCCAAATTCTTGTTGAAGAAGAGGGAACTTGGTAGCATCTAAACTTAGAGACAAGATAACACCCTCTCGCTGTATTGATCTGAAATATCAAAATCCATAATGTTAATAGCAAGATGATTCCCATTTCAAATCATTATGTTAAAGTAAGGCTATCCTATGATAGGATTAATTCATTGAAAAGTTCTAACCAACAAAAAACTAGGCCAAAAACCAAATTCAATTGTGACTTATGTGCTTGACTTCATGAAACCATATCCTAACGATGAAGTCTTTGACAATGAAAGCATTATTTATTGAATTAGCTTGAATTTTGACATAGACTCCCACTTTTGGATGACTGAATTACATAGCTATTCGAGATCTGGAGAGAATTTTTAAGTGCAGCTTCAACACAACATAGTTGACTTTCCGTTCAAAACATAAACTGGAGCTTACTTATTTTCATGGAACAACATCCTCTGTAAAATTGTGCAAATCCATGAAGTGTGAATGATAGATTTATTCTCATTTTTCCTAATATATGCCATTTCAATCATTCCATCCAACTTTCTCATGACAGGCTTGATAACATGAAGCTGATTCTCTTCTAGAGATTCACACACAAGAAAAAAATCTTTCCAGAACGATAGCAGGTTTTCTTTATTTTCATCATTCCAAGTAAAAATATTATTCTCCCCACAAACTTGCAGACTTCTACCTTTTTTATTTCTTGAAATCTTCGCGTTGATTGGAGAGATTTCAGAAGCCACTGATAATGCTCGTCTGAGATCAAAAAGAGCTTGTTTTCGAGTATATGATTTAGAGTGACAAAGTCCACATTGTATTACCACCCATATATTAGCATCATTCAAAAGTGATTCTTTTTGTACTTTCGGAGAGTTTTTATCACGATTGTTAGACAATAATTCTGCACTGGAAATTTCAAAAAGTATGTCAATCCAGGTGAGACAAAGTTGAATCAACCAATTTCCATGATCGCAATTAATCACTTCTTGATATGGTTTCAATATCAATGATGACTTTTCCATAAGAGCATTGAAGACTTTTATCCAAACAGAGTCGCAAATTTCAACGACATTGATCATTTTCAAATGGGAAAGTAGTGCGCCACATCGCACGATAATACCATTTTCTAATAAATTCTCATCACATGTGATAAAAATATCACATAATTTATTAAACAGTACTTTTTTCAGATCAGCAATGATAATTTCATTATTCGTAAGTAAGCCTTCAAAAATACTGAAAATGTTTTTCGTTTTGAAGTTTGATTCTTTTTCCTCCACAGCAGTAGCGAAGATGTTTTCTAAGATAGTGCAGCATCTTTTTTGATATTCTTTATTAAATATTTGCACACATATGATAAAAAAATGTTCTAGACATTCAGATGTATCCATTCCATCTTGTGTATATTTTTCTATTGCGGTTTTCCACAAATCAAATAGAGTATTCTGTTGTAAGCGAAGGTGATCATAGGCTGGATCGGCTTCAGCGTTATCCTTGTAATTATATTCCAATAATGCAGTTAAAACTTGCAGTTTCTCCAAATATTTCTCCTCAAATCTGAATTTGTCTTGTTTCAATAATCTATTCAAACTATCTGAAAGGTCCAATGTGATTTTTTCCACTGACAAATCTGATACAGCACTCAGCAAAGGAAGTATATTCCGTATTAAATTCGACATTTTATACAATTCTAGTTATCAACAACTCTTGAGTACCGGTACCTAATAAAATTCAAAATTAAGAAACTTAATGGGAATGATAGTGGGTAATTCAAGTGGTATTTGTATTGTATAACATGAACACAAATGGTGGAAATTAAAATTAAGGGAACGCAAAAATGTATTTTCAAGCAACATATAGCCAAAAGTTATCCTTGAACCTAAGCCAGGGTCACATGAACCTATTTGCATGCAAATAACAGAACAACAAAAATGCCAAAAGATGCCAAGGTATCAGTAAATATCAATCAATATTATAGCACAATAAATAAACAATAGTTACAGCAAAATATACAAGTTGAATTTCCATATATTTGAAACATAATTATTATATAGAATATCCACAATATCTATGTCAAATGCCTATTTGTTATGATATTAAAATCTAATCACTAAATGTATGAAAATTTAGTCGTGACAAATGAAACAGTACACAAATGCGTTATCCTAGTGAATTTCTTGGGCTATTTCAAGACAATCTATCAAGAAAATTTTTAAAATCAACAATATGTTCACTTTCCAAACCCTGGAATTTGGTTATCTCTTGATTCTGTCCAAGCCTTCGCCATTGTTCGTTTGAAGTCATCGTCTCCTTCGTCGTACATTTTTTTCATCATATCCATAATTCCTTTTCCTGGATCTTGGTCTTTATCAAAACTTGATGGTGGTTTTACTTTTTCCTCTATTTCTTTTTTCTCTTTTTCTGACAAAGTATCCCATTTTGTGGGATTAGTCTTTTTTAACATTATCACAACTTCATCCTTCTTTATTCTGACACTTTCATTTTCAACACTGTGGAGCAATTTCGGCAAAGTGAGTTGATGATTTGCATTGTTTAAATTTTTTATCATAAGCATATGATGATGGCCGTCGTAAATTATGGTCACATTTTCTTTTGGTATATCCTGTACTCCCTTCAATCCAGATACGTAAATTTTTATGAACTTTTCTGATTGATCCCAACCATAAGTAGTGATCTTCTTGGTGAAAAGCTTAGGTTTTGTGGATGAATTAGATTGTCGTTGGACGTCTTCGGTATTGCTACCCTGCTTCATTATTTTTTCCAGTTCTTGTTCCATTTCGGATTTCCATATTGCAAGTTTTCCTTTTATTGTCTCTCTCTGTGCGATAGACTGAAGCCGGATAACATCCTCCAGGTCTAGTTTCAGTTCATTTAGGCGAGCCTCCATTTCCCTACGATTATATACAGTCAAAATATATATTACGAGTTGGGACAGTTACAACCCGCGCAAGTGCGAAAGCGTACAATGTAGTCAAACACACGTGCGATGTACGGGGAATTCCCTGATCGCTCTTTCGGTCAATATACCGTATTTGCTCATTTTGTACCCCGTGCCCATATGTTTCAACCAACTCACTAACCGGGCCCTCATTCAAGCACGGGCGCTTGTTATTTTCGATCGTTACAATAACTAATATATTATTATTTCCAGTTTTCAAGTATGATTTAAACAAGAATAACGAAAATTTTGACTTTTTCTACGCACCGCAGGTACAAATCCGCAAAAGAAGAAAAGTTTTGCGACGCCCTATCAATATTGAAACGACGCACTTGTCGCGACGCCCAGTTTGAGAACCATAGTGTCACGTAACCAATGCTATCTGTTATGTACTTGGACGCCTAAGGCGTGAGTGTTATCTACCGGCGCTTAAAATCCAACAGTGTTGTGACAAAAGCGCTTCTTATTTCCTATTGTTCTCTACTACTGAAAATTCAGCTTCCGCCCTTCAAGCACCCGCCCTTATTTATTTTTATGTTCTGTTCACACGGGTGGCTTTTCAAAAGGGCCCTTAATCAAGATCGGGCGGTAAAACGAGCATATACGGTAATCGTAGGAACTACGATTTAATATACTGTGGTTTTTGCAGTCGATACAAAAATCTGTGCAATTTAGATAAAAATAAGATAGATAAGTTTATTTCGACTCCATAATCAGCATAAACGGTTGATAAAAACAAATAAATAAAAATTGATTATGAAATTTAGAGAGTTGTTTTTAGCACACGTGCATAAATTATTTTGACGCCTATTTTTCTCACACTTTGCCCAACCCAAGAACTGATTTGGGGACTGGAAGTTGATCCATCAATTTAACCAACAAAACACAATCATCAAGAACCCATCCATGGCCAATAACTAGGTGGGAGAATGAGAGGCCTTGGTTCTAGGCAACCTTGATGAAGTCTTGCCTGGTAATTTGCCCCCAGAACATGCTTCTTCACTGAATCATTGCTGGGTGGAAGAGTATAATCTATATTCTATATGTTTGCTAGTTTTGAAAAGACGTGGTATCATTTACATTTTTTATATCCTCTCCATACACTGAACCAATGACATTAAACATTGTCATTGTTAATGTCATTGACTGAACAAACAAATTCCTCAGTTTTATTTATTAATGCTTCGTTAATCTCAAAATATCTTCATAGTTGAAAAAAAAATATGATAGGATAAGTTTATTTCGACTCCATAATCAGGATAAAGGCGATGAAACGGTTGATAAAAACAAATAAATAAAAACTGATTATGAAATCAGGAAAGTAAACAAAATCTTGGATAAATGAATTGAAAAACTCAATGGTCCGGTTACCATTCCAAATCGGGTATGGGATTTGTTATATTGTTTGTTTTCGGAAGCATGGACTTGGTGGTGGAAGAAGCCGTAACCGAGCAGCGGTTACGTGAACCACCCAACGACGGCGAGGAGTCCAGCAATCCCTGCATGGGATTCGAACCTGCTAACCCACACAGAGTAATTAGAGGTGCGGTGGCGAGCGTAATCCTAACGCTTAGCCCGTTGAGCCACACCGCCGCGCCAAATCCGCTCATTGTGGCAAATAAATTAGCACTACTTAAACGGCAAACTCCTAATACGGAATAAATTGTAAACAGCCGACTGACTGGCAATGATTCGAAATAATAAACGAACAAAAACGAGAGAAAAAGAAAAGGCCGATAACAGACTTAGTTTACGCCGACATGCCCATTCCTGCCCACGAACAGATGGTGAAATCGCCTTGAAAGGAGTAATTGGACACGTAGTGGACATAACGATCGTTTCAATATTATGTTGTTGTTGTTGTTCTTGTTTTTTGACACGTTTTTAAAAAGTCGCTTTTTTCCTCGAATACTGGACCAATTGCTTTGAAATTTTCAGTGGTTGAAGATAAAAATTTTCTCCAGAAGGCTATTACTTTTTTTTTTCGCTATGACGTCATCAAAATTATGTGACTCCACATGTCCATATATTTGAGCATAGCTCTCTTGTTTCATAAACGGTCATTCGACAAAGTGCAATGACCGATATATCTCGAGATAACCCCGGGTCAAATATATATGAAGTAAAACAAAGAAACTTCGTCTGTAACAAAGTTATTTGCAACTGTTATCTTCTCATATACCTTTACTTCAAGACCTTTTGTTCGATCCATTTTATTCTCACAGGTAGGCCTATAGCGCTAATAGAGGCAGGGATTAGACATTGCCGGGGAACATTGCCGTTTTCTTTTGTAGTAAAGTATCTAAAATAGGGAAGAAAATCATTTTTGGAACAGCATGAGTGTAAAATACCAATAAATACTGACTAATACTTCTCATACATAGTGCATTTTATCTGATGTACTACAGTCCAGCAGTGTTTGCATACTAGACTATATCTACACTGAATCTCGATATATCACAGTCTGAAATGCCCTATGGCCTATAGAGTAGATTATATTTTAAAACATCAATTGTCGGTCTATAATTTGATTTCTCACCTCTCATTCGCTTCCAATGCTACCTTTCTTTCTCCGGCATAACTTATCATTACTTCCCAATCCCAGGTTCTTGTCGACTCTGTGGATTTAGACCAACTGACATCAGTAGAATTGATTATTACACCTCTTTCACACAAACGTACACTACAGATACAGCCATTATTTTCTGAATCAAATATTCGGTAGCCTATATAGTAGTATAAGTCTGCTGAATAGTCAAGAAACGTTATTAAATTTATCATAAACCTTTCATACAAGCATGAAAATATCGTTGTTTGTGACATATTGTAGACATTGTAGGCATAGCTTATCTTGGGAGTTATCGTACCGTACCTATTTAACAACGTTTATGAGCTAGTGCTCAACTAAAATTGCTATTTATGGTAAGGATAGGCCTATACAAATGTTTAATAGCTTATTATACTTTTTAACATCTTCTTAGAATAACTCAACTAATATTAACTGGAAAAGACAATGGAAAGGCTGCCCAACTCAACAGCGAGCAGCACATCTGATATTTATCCGACGGGGATCCACCTACAGCTGACCAATTTTAATTGTTACGTCATGCAGAAGTCTGCGTTCATTGGCCCATGATACCAGAAAAGCAGAGAATACCGTATATGACAGATGGTAACACATATTTAATGAAGTAAAAGCGTCTTTTCCGTAAAACGTGCAACTCTTGGAAATGGGAATCATTATTTGTTACTAAATTTCTAAGGAACATTTTAAAATCTTTTTCAGGTAGTTCCTTATGTGCGCTACGAAACTGAAAGATAAACGGCCTCGTCTCGCGGCCTAATAGCGTCTCATCGTGGTTAGCTGTGTTTGGGTTAAATAAATTGGCAGTTACTAATTTTAAAAATCTCAAAGATGATTCAAAACACAGTGCGTTTTAAATATTTGCAGTATTAGTATTTATTCGGGGTTCCTATTAGGCCACGATCGCAAACGCCAGTCGTCACGTTCTGGGGTGAAATCTGGGGTAAATATACATGCGCCAGTTTACCCACATTCAACACACAAACATATATTCAAAAGAAGAGAGCTGTGCTCAAAAATATGGACATGTCACAAGGTGTCGCTTTTTTTATTCTGACACATAAAAAACAAATCTCTTGAAGTCCGCAGAAATTTTTGAATTAAGTAAAAGTGATAGCCTTCCGACAAAAAAATCAATCTTTAACCACTGAAATGCTCAATGCAATTGGTCCTGTATTCGAAGAGAAAAGCGATTTCATCATGACGAAAGAAAAGAAAACTACAAATAAGAACAACAACATAATATTAAAACGATCGTTATGTACACAAAAGTGTCCAAAAAAAAAAAAAAAAGACAAAAACATAAAACGCTATCGTTCGGGCGCCAAACTAGTGTAACATAAACACTCGGTGGGCCCTAACTAATAAATACACTTTGACAGGTTGGAATGCATGGCTATGGTATGTGTATCACAACAGTGCTTTTCCCAAAAGAATATGAAAAAAAAAAAACACTCGTTGACGTATGGTTTGAACATTTGACTGATTTATCTTGGTACTACTTACTTTTGGTGTGTTAACGTATGGTTCACTGCATCGCGATTATTGGCTGATTAATTGATTACTTCTTGTTATGGTTAACTGTTTAGGGCTTTAGTCTGTCTTTAGATTTGTTCTCAAAAGCTTGTTAATGGTACTATAGTCATTGGGTATGAATAATCTATTTCTTAAGTTTCTTACATTGGGATAATCTGTTCTGACAAAGCCTCATTTAAATGTAAGTGAACTGGTATATTCTTGCTTTGTATTGTGCCGGGTTGCCTGTACTCATTTTAATATAAATCTTTATTGTTTGTCAGGTCACTTTGTCTTACTGATATCTGGATTAAATCACTTTGGGAGAAATATATTCGTTTCATTTCGGGATATTAGTTAAAGAAACATAGTAGGCAAGGGTGATTTGTCAATGGGCAGAAATCCAAACTAGTGACATTTAAAGATATTGCACCTACACCTACAAACTGGAGTCTGAATCAAGCAGTTCTTTTTCAACCTTCCGAGGATTCAGCAATACATCAAAGCAAGAATGCCAACTAACAATGGCAGAATATTTTCAAGGTCAGAATTTCAAACAACTCAAGAGTAAGTTTCCGGTACTCAAAGTAAATTTGGAAAGAATTTTAACACCATTGAGCACTCTCTGGAAAGAAGAGATTTTGAAAAGGTCAAAATACTGTTTCATGATGCTAACGATAAAATAGCATTTTTGGTCTGTCTAATTGATACTATGGAATTGGCTCTAATTGAAGAAGACAGTACTACAGAAAGTGAGGAAAAACCCGGTATATCCAAATTTAGTGAAGAAATTTTAAGTGTGGAAAACAAGATTGCAATCGATTTTGAGAAATATGAAGACAAACTAGATATAAAGCCGGTGATATCATCTCTTGTAATCACTCAAAACAATTATAATAATGATCCTCATATGATTAAGTTATGTGGTATGGATCCGCCATGCTGGAACGGACAAAAAGTAGACTTTTATACCTGGAAAGAACGTTTTACACATATAATGCACCATGCTAGAATTACGGATGATTTAGTGCAAATTTCATGGCTTTTACGCAATGGTGCAATGCCAAACGATTATCAAACAATGATATGTGACTGTAAATCAATTTCAAGTGCATGGTAACGCCTGGAAGAACGTATTCCTAAATCAGTAGTTCAACGTGAAGTAATCAAGCAATACGAGCAAATAAAACCTTTATATAAGACCTCTCGTAATCCAGCGAACCTTAGGCGACTAGCTCACGAAATTTCACTCTTCTGAGACGTATGGAAGATCTTGGGTTAAACAGGATGCAAACTCGGTTATTTCTGTCAATAGAGCATTAGAGTGTCTAGATGCAGACACTGCTCTGCGATATAATAGTTCCAGCAAAGGTAATCATAACTTGGAATCTATAACGAATTTTCTGAGATCTGAAGCTACAGCGTTGGAAATATCTGGTAACTTAATCAATCAAACCGAGAATATGAGGTTTCGACCGAGACAAAACCAGTCGCCAAGATCTAATTTCAATACGGTTAATCATGCTACAGACGAGAATGATAACATGGGTTCAGTTCAGCCACGTCAAAGAACAGTCACTTGTATTTTTGGATGTCGAATTCAGCACCGCCTTATAGACTGCAACAAATATCAAAACCCAGTGACGGCGCGTGGTCATTTTGACAACCGGGGCAAGCTACTGCGGGACCAAGTCACCCCCATCTACGGGGACAGGATGAGCGCTGTAAGTTCTCCCATCATTTTATGAGTAAAAAAACCATTCCATCGGTAACAACCAATCGGCAAAAGCGACAATTTTTAACGATAAGAAAGTGTCTTTAAAACCGGTCCAAGTCAAGGGATTAATAAATATAGACATAGTTTATTTTGAAACCTCTTTCAAAAGGAAAGGCAATATTTACCCAGATAAATACAATGACATATTAACAGAAACTTCGGGAAAGCAGACAAAACCTAAAATAAGGTTTAAAACGTTACTATGAAGAAAGGAAAGGTAATGCAAAGATAAGGACATGCGTCGCTCACTCATAGATATATATGCTAATTTTTGTTCCAGCGGCAGCTGCGAAAACGGAGTGCGAAGTAGTGCATCAACCTTATTCATTATGAGGTCTAAGGCTAAGAAATGCGAAGCCGGAAAGAAGTGAGGAGCTCAAAAGGAATGTGGAAAATCGAAAGCAAACGGACTAAAGGTCTCTAACTGATTCAAATAGCGAAACAAGCGACAAAAACGAAGGCGAGGAAACTATCAACTCTTCAAGCAACCAACGAACGAGAAGGAATGCGTGAAGATGTCAACACGTTGTTGTAAGAAACGTCGGCACTGTGTCGTCATAATTTCGGGGCTAGCCCCGATCGGCCCCGATTATTTAGTAAAAGAAACAGAAAACAAACGAGACAAACGCGGCGAGTGGAAGATAAAAGAGAGAATACGATATACAATGAGCAACCGGGGCAAAATCGGCGTCGCCCCGTCGACGTTCGGCGAAGGCTTTGCGAGCGAAAAATGAACCATGTCGGGAGAATATGGCTAGTGTAGACAGTCTGTGCAACCGATATTGAGGTATTTTTCGAATATTTTTTATTATACCGAATAAACAACCGGGGCATTGCCCCGGTTGGCCCTATTGACGCGCCGCCACTGTCAAAACCTATCAATTCCTGAAAGAAAAAACTTTATAGCAGATGATCGAAGATGTTTTATATGTCTAGGAACTCACTTTGCAAGAAATTGTGCAAGAACAACAGCCGATAGCTATGTAAATTGTAAACAAAGACAGCATCATTGGTCATTATGTCCCGGAAAAGTACAGGGAAATTAATAAACGACTCGACTTTGGAAAGTCAACATATTCACTCTAATGCAGCAGTATTTAACCAATCTCAGATCCATCAAGACAATTGAGCTCTTTTAATTTGGATTATTCTCCATTACTTGTTGCAGAAGTGCAGGCGAGTGCCAAAACTCGGATCAAGGCAAATTTCTTTCTTGATGGTGGCAGTCACCATTCTTTGGTAAGACGTAACTTTGTAAAATCATTGAAACAAAAGGCAATAGGTCATGGAACAATTCGGTTTGGTGTCGCAGGAGGAGCCATTCATGAAGAACTTTCTGAAGATTATAATTTAAAAATTGGACCTCTTTCACGAGACCAGATATTTGATATCAGAATTACGGCTGTGAGAAAACCTTGTCACAATGTTACACCAATTCCGCCATCTATTTTCAAACAGTTTGATTATCTAAGAAGAATTCAAGATAAAATACCAGTTGGGAAAAACAGTCGATGTTCTTGTTGGTAGAGATTATGCACCTTTAATTCAAACAATGCATTCGTTACGTTCGCCAATTGATCCCGATAATCATCCTTCAGCAGCTTTCACATCTCTTGGATGCTATCTATATGGAGGCATTATTCAAGCACCGCAACGATCTTTCAATCCTGTAGCAGATATATAGTTTTTCATCATTAGAAAATGAAGAGTTGCGCAAGTTTTTCCATGGTGAAGTTCTCGGAGTGCAACCCACAACTTTGTGTGTTTGTTTTAACTCAGAAATTGCAGAATCAGCATTTATCAAACATGTAAAAGCGACAACCAATATTAGTGATGATGGCCGAGTTTGTGTCAAAATGCCATGGAAACCTGGTTTCCCAGAAAAATTGCACAACAATTTTGAGAAGGCGTATGAACAAATGAAAAGACGGGAACAAGAATTGTGCAGAAAAGGAAAAACGGAAGAATTTAATATGGAGATTAAAAAATCTGCTTCAGCGAGGCGTAGTACGACGACTAACACCGGTTGAAACGAAAACGACTAAAGTTGAAAATGCATGGTACCTCAATCATCGTATCGTAGAACGTCCGGATAAAACCTCAACAAAATTAAGAATAGTATTTGATTCTGCGTGTCCTTTTAAGGGCACATGTCTCAATGATGGTTTAGAGAAAGACCCCAGCTTTGCGAATTCTTTGTTCAGATGTTTCATGGCATGGCGAGCTGATAGTGTGGCTATTGCTGGTGGTATATCGAAAATGTTTAATCAAATTCAAATGGCAGAAGTCGATCAGAAATTTCATCGTTTCCTTTGGCGCTATGGTGATTCATCGTTGCAACCAACAATCTTTAATGGCTTCGGGTTATGTTCGGAGATAAATCTAGTCCTGACTTGGCATGTTTTACAATTAAATTTTTAGCCGATAAATTTCGGAAAGCTGTTGTAGTGGACAAAGATACATACATTGATGATGTCAGTCATTCTGTTTCGAATCACATTCTTACAAACAAGGTTATCAATGATGTTGATCAAATACTTATTTGTGGAAAATTCTCTATAAAGATTTGGAACTCAAACCATCCTGAAGTAGATCAAAATCCTGGTGAAAAAGTTGTTGATGTACTTGGACATTCCTGGAATAAAACTGATGACAGTTTCAGTTCAAAATTCAAAGACATTTCTTTCGTGCAAACAGAATTTTCTAAAAGAAAGGCATTAGCATGTGTAATGAAATTGTGGGACCCTCTGGGTTATTTACTCCCAGTCACAATGCAGTATAGAAAAGATCTGGGCAGATGGATTTAGCTGGGACCAAACTTTGCCAGATGATGTGGTCAAATGCTGGTATAACAATGTTCAAGAAATGCCCAAGTTAGCTCAAGTTTCAACTCCAAGATGTCTGAAACCTGAAAACACAACTGGACCTCCTCAACCTCACGCATTTTCAGACGGTAGAAATTTAGCCTATGGCACTTGTGTGTTTTTACGGTGGCCTACAACAGGTGGAGTTAAACTAACCTTCGTTGCAGCAAAGGGATTTGTGACGCCACTCAAACACAAAAGTACTCCAAGAAAGGAGCTAATGGGAGCAATAGGCATGAGCAGATTGGTGCATGAAATAAGTAGAGCACTACCGTACAATATTGCATTCAAATATTTCTTGATAGACAGGAAAAAACTCCCAATCTTGAAAATTCAAACCATTCGTTGCTTCAAGAGTACAAGAATTTCAAGATACACATAAGAATCTAACAAAAGAAGTCAAATTCATTCCAAGTCTTCATAATGCTGCAGATTGTTTAACAAAACCTATTTCCTGTGAGAAGCTTACAATTTGGCATGAAGGACCTGAATTTCTAAGGCAACCAATGGAATATTGGCCGAATAATGATGACTTAAAATTAGATGAATTACGTCAAGAAATATTGGAAGAAAAACCACCAACTAAGTCAAAAGCATATCGCGGAAAAAGACAATTCAACGTCGTTAAAGCAGATTTGCCTTATCAAAATGATAATGATTTAGCGGATAATTTTTCTTCATGGCAAGACTTGCTAAGAGCGACAGCTTGGATTAAGGGTGCATTTCAGCAAAAATCATTTGTCAATTTGGAATTTAAACCTGCCGATGTCGTACAATACATGGAGAAAGCAAAAATGTGTATATTCAGAATTTGTCAAAAATCTATGATTGATGAATTTGGGAAGGCTGTCAAAACTCTATGGAAACTAGACTTGTTATTCGATTCTCACGGAATTCTTCGTATTGGTGGAAGACTGAATAAAACTGATTTATATAGGAAATGGAGCATCCATTCGTACTTCCGGGCAAACATTCCCTCGTTCTTCTTCTTGGAGTGTTCTATCATAAAAAGTTCTTACATCAAGGGTATCGAGTTATATTGACAAATATGAAGAATGACGGTATTGTTCCTATTGATGGAAGAATACTCTTAAAATCAACAGCATCAATGTGTATATTTTGCAGAATTTGTCGTAGAAAGTTGCTACAGCAACGCATGGGAGAACTTCCTTCATTTCGAATGCAACCACAGATGGCACCATTCAATTCTGTAGCAATGGATTTTTTCGGATACTTGAAAGAAAGCAATCTCGAAATGTAGTTATCAACGCGTCTGTTTTAATTACTACATGTGCAACCACTCGCTGTATTCATTTGGAACTGTGTCTGGCTCTGGATACTAATTCGTTCCTTCGGGCATGGAGACGATTTGTAGCTATAGGGGGAATTCATCCTGTATTTGTATTTTCCGACGGAGGTACTACATTTCAAGCTAGTCAAGCACCTATCAAAGAATGGATCGAGAAATGGAATTTTCAGTTGATTCAACATGAGATGGCAGAGAATCAAACAAAATTTGATTGGAAATATAATGTGCCTTACGCGTTACATATGAATGGAGTAGTAGAATCGCTTATCAACTCGGTTCGCAAAGCACTCGATGCATCAGTGGTGAATTACAGCAGGGCTCTCATGACCTACGAAGAATGGACAACTATTCTCAACGAAATTACTTATATCATCAATAGTCGACCACTTTTCTCAGATGGAAACCCTTTGGAATATAATTCTATTACTGGCAATACTCTTTTACATCCATATGCAAAGCGGGTAGTCCCGCAAACTACACAAGAAGAGAGATTCAATCCACGAGACATGCTAAAAGTGGCGAAAAACAGAGTTGAGGTGTTCTGGAAAACATGGATGAAACACATACCGCCTCAGCTATTACTTGCTAACAAATGGTTTCGTACAAGACGCAATCTTCAAGTTGGAGATTACGTATTAATTCTTCAACCTGGATTTAAAGGCGGAAGTGCACCCAGAGGTTTATGGAAAAAAGCACTGGTTCACAACATTATGCCCAGTTCAGATGGCTTAGTGAGAAGTGTTACAATCAAGGACAGCGATAGGAATTTATACAATCGACCAATACATAGACTTTGTCTAATTGCGACCAAAGAAGAGCTACAATGTGGGTTGAAAGACATCTAATCTCATATCAGTTACTCCGAGTCAACAATGTTCAATATTATCGTCTTTTTCATTGCATTCATAAACTGGGGGGAAGGGGGGGAATGGTTTGAACATTTGACTGATTTATCTTGGTACTACTTACTTTTGGTGTGTTTACTTATGGTTCACTGCATCGCTATTATTGGCTGATTACTTGATTACTTCTTGTTGTGGTTAACTGTTTAAGGCTTTAGTCTGTCTTTAGATGAATAATCTATTCCTTGAGTTTCTTACATTGGGATAATCTGTTCTGACAAAGCCTCATTTAAATGTAAGTGAATTGGTATATTCTTGCTTTGTATTGTGCCTGGTTTCCTGTACTCATTTTAATATTCATCTTTATTGTTTGTCAAAATTGTTACTAAAAAACAAGCTCTGTAAATAGGTTAAATGTTTCATACTAGTCTTTGCACAAACATGAATTGGGGTATCGGGTTCTTTGTCGTCTTCGATTAGTTCAATTTGAAATCATTGTATTCGTTCCAATGCTTCCAACATTAATATCGAGTTTCCACGAACGACCACCATTACAACAGGTGCAGTGGTCCCGTCTTTTCTGCGCTCTGTTCCATCATCCACAACAAGATTCATAAGAGGATTGTCCACCATTTAACGTTAAATCCAATATTTTGGTTAAAGATTGATTTTTTTGCCAGAAGGCCATGACTTTTACTTATTTCAAAAATTTCTGCGGACTTCAAGAGATTTGTTTTTTATGTGTCAGAATAAAAAATAGCGACACCTTGTGACGTGTCCATATTTTTGAGCATAGCTCTCTTGTTTTGAATATATGTTTGTGTGTTGAATGTGGGTAAACTGGCGCATGTATATTCACATGCATTAAACCTTTATAGGGCCTAATAGTTTTGCCAGTTTTCCCAATCTTCTGTGTGTTCATTGTTTGTGTTTTGTGTATGATTTTTTGCGGGAAAATCAAAATATACTTATACAAAGACACTCGTTTCGCTCAGAAGATGTTCAGGCATGGTTGTAAACGTTGCCTCGTTTTGGTAGTTTTGCGTGTTATTCGTCAGTGATCCTAAAAAATAGCTAAAAACCAGCGTTGATAATATTGCAATGGAAAGTATAGGAAGAAACTTCCAATGGTTGCAATAACTATAATCATTCAATCAATAATTTGACTATTTCAATCTGATGAAAATCCGATCAGTGCAGACGGGATCGGATTGGAAACGAATCTTGGATGAGTCGTGTTTGAGAACCAATGGACGAGTTCCTTGAAATAGATTCCATTGAATTTTATCCGCGTGGGATTAAGATCTGTTCTCCGTGACGTATTATATGCAGTTCTCGTATAGACAAACTTAGCTGACGGACTGTCCTAAAGTTAGCGCTTCTCGTTCGCCAAATTCCTTTGTTGAGGCGGTGAGTTCAGAGAAATCTTGTTTACGTTGTTTGGTAACATTGATTATGAAGGAGAAAATCCTCGGTCGGGCATTGTTTAGATCAGGAAATCAGGACTTTTGTACATCTGTACATATTTCTGTATTACAGTATTACATGGCAGTTTCCGTCTGGACATCCAGTTCAGACATTGTGTCTTTTGCATTTAAGCACTGAGCCGTTACGGTACCGGTACCTACCGGTACGGGCTAACAGCGTACGGTAACAGGCACAATACTGCAATAACCATGCGGTTTCAGGGTTTAGGCTATAACAGTCTGACAGTATACAGGTACCGGTATACTGTAAAATATATGAACTAACGTTAGCTGAGATTCCGATTATTGCCATATATTAATTTGTAAATTTGCCCTGTCTTGGGCCACATTATCTGGCTTCAGTAACTTCTTTCTCAAAATAACAAGACTGACAATTGCCTTTAATACTGAGTTGATTCAAAAAAATGTCTTTATTGAATTTGCTTTGTTGTTTTCACTAATCCTCAAATGGTACGGTAGACTACCCTGGCACTGAAAAATAGTCACAATCCACTGCCATAACAGAAATAATGCTATGTTGAATCTGATGACAAAAGTTCTAATTACCTTTCATTAGTAAACTATTATGCATATAACTGTATACAGGTATAACAGCTTGTCAATCACATGTGCTACATTACGATAAATCACTTTATTTTTGTTTGGATGGACATTATCTACTTTGTTTCATGACAAATTGCTTATTCTACAGTTCTATAGGACAACACTTAGATTGCTTGAAAATGACTTTTATAGTGAGCACCTATCACCTTGAAAAACATTGTATAATTATTCTTGTGGGAGTAACTTTCTGACATGAAACAGAGAATTAGTGAAACTAAATTATTTTTGTCACTTCGAAGATAAAGAATATTTGACTGAATCACATTTCATAATAGCTTTATAAAAGTTTCGTATTCATACTCTCATACAGAAGGCTAGGCATATCTTCATTAAATACTTTAGAGTGATTAAACATGTGTCCCTTCTTTTTGGCAAAACCTATATTTTGTAACATTTTGAACTTAAGGTTTTATTTGCTTTTCTAATTCTATAATCAGTTTTTATCAATTATTTTGGCGTTTGGTATGCTGAGTATTGTGTCGAAATAAACCTTTATTTCTAATTGTGTTATTCAAATCCCTTTATTATTCCTGCTCAGGTACTTTAATATAGGTTAATATGGAAAGTTGTCATAACACTGAGAGAGATATTGACAAACTCCTTGCAAAATTTGAATCTTATAAAAGTCAATATGATTCAAATTTAACACAATTAGAGGACCAAATTGGAAAACTTAAAGAAGAAATTAATCAGCTACCAGCAGATCATGTAATTGATAAACACCACCAAGCAGTATTGGGACAATATAACAAAAAAATCAAAAACTGTGGCCAAAAACTCTCTGGACAGCACAAAGATTTGCATAGCAGTGTATCAAGAATTGGTAAAACCATTGATAGAAATTTTGATGCTGATTGTAGTTCTGTCATTCCGGGTTCTTTCTGCCACAATGCCAAGGTGGGATTATTATTTTTTGTGCCCTATTGATTAGGAATTTGTATACTTATCTGTTTGCAGGGCATGAAGACTTATAAATAATTTAGGAATATATCATCGTTATGTAGTCATGTTCTCATTATGTATGAATTGGGACATTTTTAAGATAAAAAAAGGGGAAACCACAAATGTCTATAACGTCAAGGCCCCTATTACCGCCACCCTCTGATTTTGAATAGTGATATCAAAAATGGCCCTCGTCGATTGAAGCTAAGACTTGGTCACAATAATTATTGGTTTATCACTCTCTGTAATATATATAGGAGCATTATCATTTTTGGAATATTCATTCATAAAAAAAATAAAATTTGAAATATACTAATATTTGAAAATGCTTTTTTGAATTACCGAGTTTTTGTTTTCAATCAGTGATTAACACTAATTGATTCAAGTTATGGCTGCAAATCTGTATTATTATGTATAAAATTTCTTTTCATAATTATAATTTGAGTACATGCAACAATGTTTTTAGCAAGAAAAACTCCTCAACACAGCTGTATGTGAACATTACTTTCGCCAAGGTCAGCTATCATTGGCCGAAGATATAAGTGAAGAAGCTCGTTTAGATATAGATGACAGTTGGAAACAACCATTTGTGCAAATCAACGAAGTTCTACAAAGTTTACGAAATCATGATTTGGACCTTGCCCTAGAATGGACAGTAAGTCAATTGACCATATGCATTTATAAATATTGCTCTATTTAACACATTTGAAGGAGGTGATAATGAAAAATGCCATAACCTGATTATCTACACTTCAACCATACAGAAAACATTTCTGACTCTGAAAAATACATTCTGAATTGAAGTATGTTTTATCATAGAGAAAATTGTGTTTGAAAAATGCTGAAATCTAAACCTTATCATGATTGTAAATACGTTTTTATTTTATTAGACACAACAACAAATTTCTGATTACAATTTTAGTCAAGAGACAATCTCAAAAATTTCAAAATATGTCATAATTTCTTTGTGAAGTATCTACAAATTATTTATTTACTACTTTAGCGCTCATAAATTGAGCATGTCACACAATATTAAGAAAAAGATGAATGTTTTACAAACTGCAGGGCAAATTTTGTATTGATTGTATTTCAATCATGATATACAACTGTTACCTTTTTCATGCAGGCGAAAAACCATCACGAGTTGCAACAAAAGGGTAGTAGTCTCGAGTTCATGCTTCATCGAATGCAATTCATAAACATTATGAGAAAAGGGCCACATGCACAAACTGAAGCACTTCGGTATTCCCGAAAATTTCAAGCATTTGCTGATGGACATAGCAAGGAAATTCAGATGCTAATGGGCAGTTTCTTGTACATGAAACACGGCCTTGCGAACTCCCCGTATTCATCGTTGCTGGATGAGCAAAATTGGGATGAAATATGTGACATGTTCATGAGAGACTCTTGCTCTATTTTAGGTTTATCTTTGGACAGCCCATTATTAGCCAGCTTCACTGCAGGGTGCACAGCTTTACCAGCGCTTATAGCAATTAAATCTGTCATAGAACAGCGACAGTGTTCAGGTGTATTGACTGACAAAGATGAACTACCAATAGATATAGATCTTGCTCATGACCAACATTACCATTCCATATTCGCTTGCCCAATTCTGAGACAGCAAACCACAGAAAACAATCCTCCAATGAGGTTAACATGTGGGCATATTATATCTAGAGATGCTCTGAATAAATTAATTGCCGGCTCGAAAGTGAAATGCCCATACTGCCCTATGATACAGTCTCCTGTTGATGCCAAGCGAGTGTATTTTTAGCAGGACAAAATGCTGATTTTCTGTTCTGCGCATTGAAAACCTATTTCCCATACTAAAGCATTCTGAATGCAACGAGTTATGGCATATGGGTTACTATATAAATTGTGCATTTAAGTGAAGTTACAACACATTATACAGTATTTTTTATGTTGTAGTAGATTGTAATAAAATAGATTAGTTGCCATATCTGCTGGAATGAGTTATGTAATGTCTCGATATGGGTATATTAGTTTTTGTCAGTATGTGTATTTTATTTATTGTTGTTATATGTCTAATATTTTGTTTTTTTTATTCCATGTTTATTAATATGATACAATAAATCACAACAAGCACCGGTTTTTCATATTACATTCGTTGCAGACATCAAAGAGTAAAAATATACAAATTCCTCCTGGTCTCCTGTTGGCACCTGCCTACCTACTTGGAGCGAGATTTTGACCGGGCCCGCTGACTGTATCCAACCACACTCTGTAATGTGGTCCGACGCATCATTCCAGAAAGTTGCCGATCGTTCTACTTTCACCGCACTGTCAGTGCAAGCTGGTGAAATAAACATTTGCCCTAGTAAACAACAGAATTGGATCAATTACATTAATCCAGTTCAATTACCCTTATATTTTTCAATTACATTTACTCCGTGCAAAAAATATCAAATTACAACAAGGCAATGCTCAAATATATGGACACGTTACACAGAGCGAAGCAACCCTTACACTTGACGGCGCCGCTACCCTCAAAAAAATTCCGAGTTTCGCGTAGCTAGAATCCAACCAGACAGCCAGTGTTCCCATGGATAAAAAAATTCAGCGAAATCTTGGACGAAATATCAGATTTCATAAAAAATTTGAAAATAAAAAAGTAACAGCCTTCTTGAGAAAAATTCTATCTGATCCCAATAAATTTCTTCTTGCCGTATAAAAGTTACCCGCAATTGAAAAAAAAAAAACTCTTTCTGACGGGGCTGATGTTGCTGTTAGTCCCAAATAATCCTTGGCTAAAGAAGCAAGCCTGGTAAACTCTTCTGATTGTCAAAATGCAAACTAACGAATAGCATTCGAAATCGTAAAATGAGGTATTGTTTACAACCACGACTGAAAATCTGTCTAAAGGCATATCGTTATGTCACTTTTTTGCATCTTGCCGATTGACTATGTTACGAAATAAAAAAGGAAGGCGATACTCGGAAAACGCTCCTTGGAAAAATATTTCGCCCGTTTTCGTGTTATTGCGGGCCAGATGAAAGGACGCCGTAGTTTGGTTACCCCTGGTCTAATTGAAAGTGTAATTAAGCCAAAAATTTTAGCAAATTACAATTACACAGAATGAAAATGCCTCAATTACATGAAAAACTTACAAAAAAACTTGAAAAACTTATTACATCAATTACAATTGATCCAACTCTGGTGAACAAACAATTGCGTTAGCACACTTTTCAAACAAACAATATAAGGTCAAAGCAGAGAGCGTTGTAAACATTCCCCACTACTGTTATCAGTTATATCAATGAGCATGTACATATGCTCATTGGTTGAATGTAGATTCTAAATATTTTAGAAATTAGATTTTATATTAAGTTTTATTAACCATGGAATATTTCAAGAAACGTAAGGTTGACACAGAGTGTCGAGCATTTAACAAAGATTGAATAACGAAGTATTTTTTGTAATACCTCGGCCGCCGAGGACTTCATTTTCCCACATCTGATCTAAGGCATAACCTGGTTCAAGGCTGATGTCGAATGAGCTATCCCATGGTTCAGAGTCGCTGTCAAAATGGGCTTTGGGACAGAAGGGTAAGCGTATAACTAACCCAAAGCAGGATTTACATATTTGGCGCGGCGGTGTGGCTCAACGGGCTAAGCGTTAGGAATACGCTCGCCACCGCACCTCTAACTACTCTGCGTGGGTTCGCAGGTTCGAATCCCATGCAGGGATGGTTATGTGCGAGAGGATTGCTGGACTCCTCGCCGTCGTTGGGTGGTTCACGTAACCGCTGGTCGGTTACGGCTTCCTCTACCACCAAGTCCATGCTTCCAAAACAAACAATACAGTAAAACTAATCCCATACCCGACTTGGAATGGTAACCGGACGAGAGGCCGTGGTTCGCCATATGGATAAGCCGTCTTATCGGCTTTCCTCTCCCCCGGGATAAATATGTAAATCCTATCCTATTTATCCTAGGGGATAGGAAAGTCGATAAGACTGCATGATCATATGGTAAACAACAGCCTCTTCTGGTCTGGTCCATGTCCGGTATTGCATTAGTTAGTCAGTTATTCGTTTCACATGCATGTACTTGAGGGTGTGGGAGCCGTGACCCACCAACGGTGATTAAAATACCCCGCGTCGGCGAGGAGTTCAGCTATTCTCTCGCGAAGGACAAATACACATCATGATGAAAACAGTGGGGTCCCCAAAAATTAAAAAAGATGCGCGTTGAGGGTTGTCAAATTTTGTCAGCAGCGGCGAAGCCTTGGCTTAAAACAGCGGTCTCCAACACGGGGCCGGTCAGGCATTTTTTGCGGCCCGCGTCATGGTTGGGATTTTTCCACAACTATAATAGTACGATGTCAACCGTATGTCAAATGTGTGTTTTATCGTGATATTTCTCATCAAGAGTCCGGTCCGACAAACTGTGAAAATTGAAGCAAAAGTTTCCTCCTATTATCCATGTTCATGTTTTATTCTATGGTTATAATCAACGACTAACATACCGGTTATAATTCAATTACAACTTCAATAATTTCATTTTGCATGTTCATTGGGACGAAATAAACGAGTTTCGGTCAGTCGATTGTGCCCGAAGAGAGGTTTGCAAAGCTAATCACACATTCACGTCGCATACCTGCGATGTTTGGCAGTTCTTATAATTGCGAACAGTTTTTCATTTCAAGTATGAAAGTTAGCCCTCCGCACACGACTAACGGACGAGCATTTGCAGGTTGTCTCAACAATCGCAAACCAACGCAAAATAAGGCCAAACATCGAGCCCAAATATCCAGCACAAGTACCGGTAAATGAATATGCTTCATGTCTCGTTGGCTGTAAGATCCAAGTGTAATTTCAACACAGTACATTCAGATACCCACTTTTTTTTACCTAATATCTTGGTTTGCGACCCGCGTGGTCAATAAATTTCAAAAAGTGGCCCGCGACATGTTTTGAGTTGGAGACCTGATATCGCACGATTAGATGCGGATGAAAATTGAGCCAATTAATTGGATTTACTGTACAAAATAAAACGCATAAAAGAGATTCTACCGCAATAAAATTTCAGCAACGGTAGTGGGACGTACACGGTACACCTAGTGCTAGGTTTAGACATGCGCGTTTTCACTTTCGTCAAATATGTGTGTATATCAGTATTAATTGAACTTTGGTATTGTTTCAAGTTGTTGCATATAGGGGAACTTTGTGAAAATTTGGGATACCAGTACATGAGTACGGTACACCAGTGACACCAATGAGAAGCGGCCATGTACCGGTATGTAAAATGATTCAGACTTATAACTTTTATTTCCTTATATATATAGGTGGTTTTATATTAATTTTAAAGTAAAGAATCCATGCATAGATATTTGCTAAGAACCACTTTTATTTTCAGAAAAAAAAATCATTGTTCGGCGATTGTGAATTGGACGCCTGAGTGACTCCGTAGCCATAGTAACGTAAATACGTTACTGGTTAACAAAATCATTGGCGACAGCGAGTGAGTAGCCCAGTGAGAGATAGCTTTGACATTATTCTGGAAATTCAATATCAGTCAGAATGGAAAATATTTTATATTTGTGCTTCAAAATATCATGATATGTAATGTTTGAGCCACACTGGAAGACAAGAGTCTTTTAATGCTTATTCAAATTGACCAGTTCCAGAGTTCTAACACCTGAAGAATGTAGTAAAAATACCACTGTAATCTTTGTAGTACAGTTACCTACAATACAGGTTGTTTACAACCTATGTTCAATAGGTTCCGATTGTTTTGGTACTGATATCTGGTTTGTCGTACTATCATCAATTTATTAGTTTGAGTACATGCCATTTCAAGCTCAATGTTCTATTTTGCCTGTTTAAATTCAAAGTGAAGCATGCATAGAATTGCCAAAGTTTTGTCCACTTTCAAATGAGATAGATCGAAGTATGGCTATAATGAAATTAGAGATGTAATGCTATTTATATTATTTGATTCACTTCAATCTTATTTTGTCTTTATTTCTTACCATTAAACTCTGATTTTTACTCCACTGTAAATCATCAACAGTTTATTCAAATGAATTTTCTATTATTCACTGTATTTTTTTATTTTTTATGATAAATTTCAAAGTGCTATATGTTGTACAATGATTTTATATGTATTTCTGATCACTCCTAAACGAGTGTACTTTGCCGCTCATCTTTGTTCGATGAGCAGAATTCGGTTGTGATATGTTCATGTAAAACACTTGCTCTATTTCATGTTTAATTTTGGGCAGCCCATTAGTAGTCAGCTTCACTGCTTTGCCTGCACTAAAAGCAATAAAGTCTGTCATAGACAGTAGTAATGTTGGCCACTTTCACAGGGAGTGCCTTATTTTTGAACCGAAATCAACTACTAATAACAACTCCTATTTTTCGTAATTATGATGCAACAACATTATGTGGGTAAAAACGGATCATTCAAAATTTTTGAAATTGAAATTTGAATCAGAGCAACAATGAAAATGTAATACCTGATCTGAACTAAACATGACCTGGAAGCTGTTGCTGAATTCTTCATATTGATCAGAATGTTGGTTTAAAATTGTAACTGGAAAAAATTTGCTTCGGCTTTATAAATAAGATATGAACAATATTTTTGTGCATATTAATATTTACATTTAATCTCTATTTTTTAATCAGATCAGTTGACAACCATAACAATATTGAATAGCTTGCTTGTATCTTGTACATATTTGTCACCAGATTTACTTTCTCAATATCCCTATAAACATTCATAAGAAAAATGTCAGATTTAGGATCAGATGAATTTGAAGATGAAGCTGGACCATATTTGGGGGTATGTATCATTTTGGTATTTTACTAATTTTTGTTCGAGTCTGTATTTTCATTTATACATATGGTGGACATCAATCCATTGGAATTCATTTTATGATGTATGTTGAATTAAGACAAATGTTCTAAATTCACATCTTTTACCAATTCTATCTTTTACTATCTAGGAATATGAAGGAGACAGGAATGAAGAAGGCGAGAGGCATGGACTTGGAAAAGCAACTTTACCAAATAATGACACATATGAAGGTCAATATGAAAGAGGGAAGAGACATGGCCAGGTATTCGGAATATGAATTAATACAAATAGTGTGACATAATTTTTATGAGTTTATTGCTCTGGAAATACCAAATCATCCAAGTATATTTCATTTTTCATTCTTTGTAAGACTAATCTTTTATTATGGTGTTAAAAGTATTTTTTTACCTCAACAATGTAGGACTTGAAAAAGAGATTTTTTCAGTTTGGTATAATTTTGTTTGCGGTATCAAAAATATTTGATTGGTTGCTGAAAACCGGATCAATGTGAAAATCGATTGGTGAGAATTTATAATCATTGAAAATGTTTCTGTTAATTTGAATAATTTTATTTCAGGGAACATATCGTTTTAAAAATGGGGCGAGGTACATTGGTGAATATTTGAGAAATAAAAAACACGGACAAGGAATGTTTATTTACCCAGATGGATCAAAATATGAAGGTGAGTTTATAAGAGTCACACAAAATTGCCATTCAGGTAATCAAATCACTGGTCAATGGGCGTCATGGTCACTTTTTATGAGGGCGAACAAAACTCAATTTGATTTACTATACCCAGAGGTCTTTTGTGCCCACTATTGAAATGGAGGAAATTATATAATTTACATTAAACTACATAGTCACCTAATCACCATTTCATTGAACTCAATGAGAAAACATTAAAAAAGTCTTGAGATTCGTAGGGATTCTGAATCATATCTACTTCAATAAAAAGGTATTCTCTATGAAAACTCATTGCTCAATACTACCATAATTTGATTCTGTGAATTTGAATCAGAGCTTCTTGGGGAATTCTGTGTCAGTGAAGCTGATGAATCAAGTTTGTAATATCAATTTCATTTCTGAAATCAAACATTCTTTAACTTTTTATTATATTAAAATTTACAATCGAAGGAATAATACAGTATTAATTATTCCAACATTTCTAAAAGTGCTTAAACGTTGTTGATCACATTTCTTAAACATTTCATCAGGTTCATGGGCAGATGACCAAAGGCATGGTACAGGAAAATATTACTACACTAACGGAGACACCTATAATGGTGAATGGTTGAAACATGAGAGACACGGACAGGGAGAATATTATTATAATGATACAGGTTAGAATTAAAATTGTTGCATTTAAATTTTTAACATCAACACTTTAACAGCATTCCTTTTCATTACCGTGAATAGTAAAAATGGAATGAATATATTTCTGCCCATAGCAACCAACATGTGCTTTTTATACATACAATCTTTTCTGCAGGTTCAAAGTATATTGGAACATGGGTTACTGGAAAACCAGAAGGTGCAGGAGAATTAATTCATGCTAATCATAGATTCCAAGGAAATTGGACAGAGGGCAATGTACGTTGTTTTAACATAGTAGTTCATGTATAGTTCATATTGTAATTTTGATTTCTCATTCAAATAGCAACGTTCCTATAAAAAATACTAAACTTTGGCCTGACTTTACAAAGTCTAATTAGCAGTGCCTTTTATTTGTAACAGATGCAAGGACCTGGAAAATATATTTTTGATATTGGATGTGAACAGCATGGAGAATACATCCCAGTTGAAACGGTAACATATTCTTATTCACAATTAAAGGAATTGATTGTAATTCTGTTATTGATATAATGGAATTGAAGTAGGATAAAAGTTAATGTGGACTAATTATATAATAGACTACAATTCGCAGCCAGGTTGTGTATGGAAATAGCCATCCCAGTTCAACGTTCAAGATGTATGAAAGTGGCTTGTGAGGGAATTGGTCAGGCAAAACTTTTTTTCCTCCTGCGGAAGTTTTAACAATTTTATCAACGATGTAATCTGTGTGCAGGGAACGTGTTTCAAATCTCATCTACGCGACCTAGTCACCATTGTAGTATAAGTTTCGTGGCATGTGGCTTGCAAGGCTGCCCATTTTTCCCTATATTGTATTGTATCTATGTTTTGAATTCTTGTGAAGAACACGTTGTTAATCGACTCCATGTTCAAACTAAATGTAGTGCATACAAACGGTCAAACAGCAGGTATATGATATCTATAATTCGAATTTTATATATATTCGAATGAAAAGAACGTAGGTTCATGAGTTGTTTTATGACTACATTACCTGATTTTTAGTCACAAGGTGATGGAGAAGAAGAGGAACCAGTAACTGTAACGATACCAAAATGGAAGGCAGGAAATATAACTGGAATCACATTATTTGTACCACCACCTCCCAAAGAAGGTAAATACAATAACGTAACTCGTAAGTTTTAATATCAACAATGAACAGTTGTTATATCACACAAAAATGTATTAATACTTATCTACTCCTCTAACTCTTATTTGCCCTGAGTGATTGCTTGAGACTTTATTATTGAAAACATTATATAATGAACACATGAACTTTACTTTTTTGTATTTCTTTGTATTGACAAATTATCTCTATTACACATAATTCTCCTTCAGTGGCAAAATATTTGAAAAAAAAAATTTTAAAAGCTTGTGAAAGTCACTGATTTCACCTTTTTTTGTCAAGAACCCACCGAGGAAGAAACAAAACCAGAAGTATCAGAAGATAAGCCACCAGAAGAAGTTCAACCATCAGAGGCACCAGAGGAAGTACCAGCGGATGATGCCACCGAGCAACCTGTTGAGGACCAGGAAGAACCAGCACCAGCTGCTGAAGATGAACTAGCACCTGCTGCTGAGGAGGGCGAAGCAGAAGAATAGATGAATTTTTTTGCAAATTTTTTTCTTTCATATTTTCAAGATCATCCTTTGATTGGACTCGGCAAAAAATAATTTTTATTTTAGTTATTCGATATTGAAATTTTGTACATGATTTTTATAAATATAGATATAGGTTGAAATTTCAGCTATTTTAGTATCAATGATTGGTTGCTGTTGTTTGTAGATACATTGGAATACCCTTATATCTTGTAAGATTTTAAACATGGGCTTTAAATATTTATAACCAAGTTAAATTTTAGTGGTGAAATCAGTTAATGATAGTTAATAGAATAAGGCTGACAAAGATAATGGGGAGTAAAAGCAAACGGCATTTTTCCATTATTCGACGTAAAAATGCTGGAAACTGCTAAATTTGTCTATCACTATGTAAAACTAGTATGGTAATTAAAACTACATGTGGCACACAATTATTTATATAATCAAACGACTATTATTGTAACACATCTTTCACATGGATATTCAAATATCAAATAGTTGGAATTGTGATGTAGACGCAGATCAAATTTGCTACCTTTTAAATATCAATGATTGTCACAAGTGTGACTTCACAACATGGCGGTATTGCAACACTAATTTTGCCAAACTTGATGTGAATTTTTTGCTCATAACAAGGCTATAACGTAAAGAGTACTATTAGGGGGGTTACAGGCAACCACTGATATGTTAGGCAGCTAGGGACTATATTATATACATGGGTCAGGTCTGCAAGAAACATAAGAATATTCCATTTTGCTCATAAAGATGAATTCTCAATCAGAACATAGTCTCTGAGGTTGATTTGCAACAAGCTATATCACCACTACCGTGTGTCCCCGAAAATATGACAGGGATTTATTTCAATTTTCTTCCGAAAAATAACACTAGGGTTTATTTTCGGGGGATGTCTTATATTTTCATTTGTCAAAAACAAAATTACAAAGTAGAGAATTACGACTAAATCTACTTTTATTCACAAAATCCCTATTGCTATTTTCCCCACTAATTGATAGTTACACGAAACGAATCCACATTGGTGTAGTTTACAATTGTGTGAATCTGGTATTGGTCTAAACCAGGCTCATCCAACCCGTGGCCCGCGCGGTATTATTCGAAGCCCGACGTCTTTCACAAATCTGAGCCACCATTAAAACTTCTAATAAAAAAATTATTCCTCGTTCAAACGCGCGAGAAGCACCTCAACTGTCAAAGGCTTTTTTTTTTTAAGTCTCTTTGCAAGATTTATTGCTGGAGAGAAATATTTGAATTTATTTTTATAGTTTCCAAGTATTTCAATCTGTTTTTCTGTGAAGTTAGAAGAGGCAGTTTTCATGACCTCATTATTTAACAGCACTTACTTGTATGAGCAAGTTCTTCACAGATGAACCACGTCAAGCGACCCGCGCAATCATTCGTAAACTACACATGGCCCTTTGGCCATAAAGGTTGGAAAACCCTGGTCTAGACCAAACTGCATAATACCTCATCAAGTCATGGAAGGGAATCATTTTATTCAGGTCAGAAGCCATTAATTGAAGAATTAACAGCATACTCTTATTTTGTTTAAATTTACCTAGGCTTGATCCCACTAGCAAAAAATGAAACGACAAACCTTATAAATCATTTTTTTGTTTCACAAACTAATGAAACAATGAAAGTATTATTAAAAAATGGAACAATCAAGGAATTTCATTGTGTTAAAACCGGGCACTAGAGAATAAATTCAAAAAACACTATAGAAACTGTGGTATTGGAGTATTCATGAGAGTGCCCAACATTATTTAAACTATATTTCGTATGTGTTCAATTTTTATAATTCTACCACATACCAAATTACCTTTTTAACCTGGCAATTTTGAACCATAACTTCAAAAATAAGTAAAGTGAACACTGCATTATTTATGTTCCCATCTAGATGAGTTGTCAGTAAAAATCTGAAATCTTGACGTTACAAATGTGCCCAGCTTGAGCTGGAACTTATTACAAAAATCAGGTATTCGGAAAAAATAATGCTCATGCAAGTATATAACAAAAGACAATGTCAGGAACCGAAGTCATTTTAAAGTAAAATATACCAGCTCAGTAAAAAAGCTAAAAAATTGTCAAAGATAAAAAAAATAATAGATTGTAAAACAGATAAGCCAGCATTGTACTAGAAATCAGGTACAAAATCTGGATGTAGATACAAAAAAGCCAACTGTTGTTGAAAATCACTAAAACCTAACAAAATATGATTGAAATTACAAAAACAAGCATGATTTAGGATGTACTGATGCACTAGTTCAACATAATTGGATTTTGCAATAGCTTTGTAAACAAGGCACGGATGCAAGATGATTGAAGTTGGAAATAATAGACCAAGGTTATTGATCACAAAATCAACATTGAGTCACAAAATTTCACACCTTTATGGGAAAAAAGCGATAGAAACAATTTTATTTAATAATTACCGAAAAGAGGAAAGATAAATAACATGAGAAGGAACTACAGTAGCTCTAAATATGAAGACCAAACTACTGAAGTTGAGTGTCACTTGCATCTGAAATTGACATAATTCAACTATGAATTGAGCAAAAAGAGTGACTTATGATTGGTGTGTCATTGATTCGAGAAAAAGTGGTCAAAGTACGGTTACTAGCAGGGCTGGGAAGCAATATCTTGTTGGAACCAAGCTTACCATATTTTAATACCCCATACAAATAATGTTACTTCCTTTTCAGCTAATATTGTTTCTTAAATAAAATTTATAATATTAGTGTATAAGTCCCAAGTTCTTCTGCAATATTTACATATTCAATTTTATAATTTGAACCATAATATCATGAACTTGGGTCCCGCTTCCGCGAGACATTATTTTGGCTGATGTTTCATGATAGTGGTCAGTGATACCACAAAACCACAATGGGTATGGAGCCATTGCAGGGCTGGAGCCTAGCTCAGAGGTAAAAAAAATGAAGACAAATGTGATTTCAAATGAGCTCTCCAGCCCTGGTACCTGGGCTACAGCCAGACTGTCTATTTTCACTCTTTTCAGAAAGTACTATGACGTAAATCCCCATTTCGAAGTCAGTTAATCTTTGTTCTTCATAGAAATCGAAATAAAAAAAATAAATGAAACATCCCTTATTCAGAAAAAGTATATGCAGAATATAAATCTATTTGTTAAACAATGCTTTGCTCATGTTAATGATTTCATCATTTGGCAGTTTGTCAAGCTATGATTAGTAATCATTGCTTGTTGTAGTTTCATGTCACAGTGAAACAATTTGGTTTATTTTTTGTTGGATGTGTACAAATCTCTGGATATGAATAAACTGCATAAAAATGTAAAAAAGCAGTCTGTCATGGCATTAAAACTTTTGAAATATCAGATGTAGATCAGTTTCGTGCCTAAAACCTAAAAATTATGATTAATATAAAAAATGACAAACCAAAGCACTCATGATTATGAAGGAAGCAGTGAAGTTGACACAGTGTTGCAAATAAATTGCAGAGAACTGATATATTGAGTCCTGGTCACTTTATGAGAAATGTTATTATCATAAAAAAAACATCTTTTGTCAAAAGAAGTTAAAGTGAGCTAGATTTGTCCATAAGGGTGTTGAGTTGGTTTGAGAGTCACCAAATAACAGATGTATGCCTGAATGAGGACAGTACAGTCACAACAAATTTTTCTCCTTGTTGGCGTTTATTGTTTAAAAAAATATCTGTGAGAATTGATCTCTTGTCTAAATAATATCTCTAAACAGCAACAGCGGTATAAGATTCAACCAATGTAAAAGAATATGAAAATCAATTTGAATTTACGAGCAAAAAAAATTACAGAAGATAACTGTATGGCTTGTGACGTAAGCAAAAGTGATTAGCATTCGAAGGCTGAAAAGTACCGGAACTCAAAATATTCAGTTCTCCGCAAGGCAGCAAAAATATAAAAAAGCTCTTACGGCAGTGATCATGTAACATGACTATTGTTCAATCTGATGTTTTCTGGATAAAATATGATTTGAGTTTCTCAAGGAATCAAAATCCCAACCCAGACAATAGGAATTAAAGATCACAGGATAAGTATGATAGTCAAAACATCATACATGGGATTCTCGAAGACCTACTGGCAACTGTGAGTTGTGTCAAAGCTCATCTCTGGTGCCATCACTTGCCCAAAGAACAACTCCGAAGAATGACACATCTTTCAACATGTCAACTCGAGTGGTGGAATAAGAGACAATAACTTGTACGTCATCGTATGGTTGTAGCCTGCGAACACCTAAAATGAGAAAACGTTTGATAAGTAATAAGTAGAAGGCACGAGTTCAGAATATTACATGGCTATGGAAATTTATTTATTATTTTAATTTGAAATACTTTGATTCAAATCAATGTGCGAGCGAAGCTGAGCTATAATATTATACAAATCAGGATTTCACTAGAATTTGGCGGACACAATGAGTTTGGTGGTTAGAGCATCGGTGTAAACCTGATGAGTATTAAAAAAAAAAACTTAAATCTTATATGCTTGCAGCAGGTGATAATGATTCAAATAATGCGATTTCTTTTTCAGCTGTTCTGCAAACACTGACTAAAATCCAATATGATCATCAATAGTCAATACCTATTGTGAATTATAAGCTATTATGAGACAACAAGAACTGATCATTTAAAAATTGTATCCAGATAGATTTAAAAATCTTGCACTATAAAGCGATAACAATTACTAGATACGATAAGATGGTTAGGATTAAATTGACTTGAATTTGTGGGAAGGTAATGCCCCTTAAGTAAATATTGAACAAAGCAATAGGAGAGAACCAATAGAAGAGACAAAAGTGTCAAGATATGTCCATTACCGGCTCAAGAAACCACAAAATAAACTAATCGGAACTAATTCAAGGATTTAAAAACCAAATTTTCCTATACAATAGATGGCTTCATTCATTTTCCGGCGCTCCAGAAGTGGGTGTACACCAATATGGAGGTAAATAATTTTGTTCGCCTATTTTACATCAAGTTGTGTGAAGGGACTGAAACCTATGGGCAGGGCAGGGGGTATATTCACTCGTCTAACACAGACAGTCCTCGTACTCGTAATAGAACTAAAATAAGGAAAATCGGAATAAAATTATGGCCTAACCCTACCCTGGTACACACACTACGGGAGTACCCATTTTCAAAGTCACTCAGAATGACTGAGATCTACTCTGAAGCAATTTAGTATTATTGAGTTGAGATCAGGGATAGCTAGAATCGAATTCGGAAATGGTTGTAAATTTAGCGATGTTAAATTTAGTAACGCAGAATAGTTGAGACTTGAGATATGCTTTGTTTCAATTGATTTTCTATTTTTACATTGTCAGAAGTTAAATGAAGTCTTTCGTCATTTTCGGGAATGGCTCCAATGTCAAAAGCAATGTTCATCTAAGTCTTTTATGTGTAAAATTTGTGTAAGTTATTTGTCACAGATAGCATATCGGCATTTTTAACAGTAAGAAGGGAACTGCAATCTCCTCTTTCAGAGATTGGATATGTAAAGTTTATATTTCATATCTTGCCAAAATTTGTGAAATGCTAATAATAGAAGTTTTAAGATGAAAATATACTAAATTCCTACTAAAACCATATATTCCCTATTTCAAACCACACCAATTTCGAATGTATGTGAACATTCAATATGATTTGGATATGTTTTCCTAGTTGAGATATATGGTAGTTTTCTCATGAACCCATATATATATAGAATGATAATCACTATTTTAACTCATGCGATAAACACCTCATTCATTGACCCTTACTTACCCGAAGTAAAACAAGTGCTGATCTTTGTACTTCGTCTACATTTCAGAAAAGTGTGTCCATTAATTTTAACTTCATGTTCAGTAAACATTGTTGTCAAATCAGAACTCAAGAGCTAAAATAAGAATACTAAATAGTTAAAATTGATTTATGCTAAGATGCTCAACTTCAGAAGCCTATACATTATATATATATCAGTGGTCGGCATCCACCGGGCCGCGGCCCAACGCCGGTCAGTGGAAAGGTTACTACCGGTCCGCAGAAAGGTGACACAAAAACAAACAGGGGCCTGATAACACCTCTACAATCCAACCACAAACCCTATGACTAAAAACAGCACAAAACAACAAACCAGACAAACACAACGCATTAGTTATTGCTAAACGAACATCAATCAATGCCCTGATATAGATTCAAAAGCTGTTCCCCTCCACAGCATCATATCCATTTGAGAGCAGGTTTTCAATATTGACAACTACAAAAACGAAGTAGGCTGGATGTAAGAAACACATACTTTATTACATAGGCTTAGTCCATTTGTATAAAGGCAATCCACCAAAAATTTGATCAGGATATACCGGTTCGTCACTTAAAAAAGGTTGCCGACCACTGATATATATCATATAGCCTATATAGATTAGATAAATATACATGGGCCAGGTGCAACAAGACTTTTTGAATCACTTAGAATAGTTGCCACAGCATCTTTACATTGTTACATGCAGATCTAAGCAGTTACTTAGTCACACAAACCCCAATCAATAGCATATTTCGTCTTTGTTTTTGAATTGTTAAATTCCAGTTCGCTATATTTTTTTATCAATGCTCATTACTTAGCCCACTTAAGTCAGGTCAATTCCAAAATAACAAATTGCCAAAGATAATCATTTATTTGATTCTGAGCGCGAAAATTGAACATATTTCACCTGACTGTATATGAAGTATATACCACCACTTTGAACTTGTAGTGTACCGTTGTGTTGGAATAATCTGTAATTTGTATCTGAACTCCAGTCAGCTTTTACCCAGTGATTGAGAACTCCGCCTTAAAAGTATAATATGTACAATATAACCAGATGTTTTGTGGAATCTGTCATTTTCTCATGTTAATTGTTGCCTAATGCCAGTTACACTCATGTTCTGGAGACTAATATCTGCCATCTTAAAGTGAGTGAATAATGAGTGCAGTATTTATATCAATACAGTATCTTAATCTTCATTCAAATTTTCCAAAATTGACATATGCTAAGCGCAGTTTGCGTCAATATCAAATTACAATTCAAAAATAGAAAAATATTATATCTGTATCCCCGCGTCTGTATGTGTCTTGATCTATTATGTTTAGAAAAAAGAAAATTTTTCAAGGGATTGATAAAACCAATAACATTCTGTCACTGTACTGATAACAGAAAATAATCAGAAAAATCATAATCTAGCATGATATGATTTGAATATTTAAAATCAGATTAAATATTCCCTGGTTACCTGATCTAATTTAATTCCATTCAAGTAAATGTCACTTTTCGAAAAAAAGTCTCAATAAATCTAACTTTTTGTGGAAAGAGTTATTGGAATCTAGAAGTTTTAGTTTCAACAAATGTTGAATCACTAGAAATTCAAAATGTGATTTTAAATGACAAGGTACACAGCAAACAAACAAAATTCAAATGATGCTCACTTTCTGACACAGAAACACCAGAAGATCCATCTCCATGCGCATGCAGAAAATTCAATTTGAACTACAAACAAACAAATGTGAATTTACAACAAGTTATATACAAATACATAGAACACAAAGTGATGGTTATTAATGAAGAAAAACAGCAGTTATACACAATGAACACACATAACACTCTAAAATCAACAAATTTCAGATGCGTCACAGAACTTATTCAGAAAATTTGTGAGTGCCAGATGAACTTTGATGAAAGTAAGAATGTGCAAAAGATAGGATTAGATAATGCTAGAACTTCATAATTCATATATAATAAATATATATAATTTAAACAATCTAAATATTATCCAAAAATTAATAATCCATATTGCTGTTTAGCAGCCAGATTCTATGAATAGCAAAATCACACTTTATTCCACTTTCCCTTAGAAAATTTCATTTTCAGAGAAAAATTTTACAATACAAAGGCTTTTGACATACATGGGCAAAAACTAATTTTGATTTTGAAGATTGGATTTTATTATTATCAACAATTTGCAGAAGAAAGAAGAGAGGAAGGTCATGATTTAATTGTTTTTCTTTGATTCGTTGTCTAATAAAAACTTGTGTTTGAAAATTTTTTAATAACTCATTTATTCAGTATAAATGATGTAGGCTATGCTATAACATTTTTTGGGACAATATTTGAAAAAATATATTTTAGGAAAAATTTAGAAAAGTTTTGTGTTTAGAATAGTCTGAAGTAGATGAATGAAAAAAAAGATTCAGTAATGTAATTTACTTATATGGTAAGAGTGATATTTTCCATATTACCTAACAACATATGCTAAAAGAATTTACGATAGTTCAAAGGGAATTCAAAATGATGGAAGTTTATTATTTTAAAAATATACCAGAAATCAAAAACATTTTTTTAGTGATAATTTTGATTGCAGTAAAATTATCAACTACCGGTATAACAAAAATTTGTTATACATTTCCATAGGATTCCAAAGTTAAAGCAATATAAGAGATCGATTCCACGTTAATAATAAACTATACAGATGTGGACATTTATTGTACGAACAATGATGGTCAACATAGCTATATCCTATGATAAGTACAGTAGTCCACAGCACGTGCTTTATAAAATTCCAATAAACCGGTCATTGGAGCACAACGGTACATATGCAAACACATAGTGGAAACCAAAAATAAATAAAGTCTTATTTAAACACACCTTAACAAATCACCCCACACGCCAAACATTGCGAAGCACACAAAGTAAAAAGGTAGGTATATGAACAAATACTGTACCGCTAGTCGACTTATTAAACTGAATAGATACGCTATTATAGTATTCTTTCAAAGTGAGAGGATGATGAATAACTATGTGTGTCATTTATTGACATAGTATTACAAGATTTACAGCATTGCCACGAATAAGTGGTACATTGTTCAATCCACCTAACACATGCGTTGAATACCTAAACTAAATTCAAGCATATTTTATTATCACTTTAGGTTACTTGATGCCAATCTAATATTATTCCACGGCAAAAGAAATATATTTCAAATCTAAAACCGTAATCCATAAATGTTGGATGTATTGACATAACTTTATCAGTGAATGATTAGATTTAGACAAAACAACAAAGAGCTAACCTGAGGTCCAGGTGGTCCAGCAGGCCCTCGATCACCTGTTCTTCCAATTGGTCCTCTTTCACCCATGGGACCAATAATGGAATCCCCTTTCAAACCAGGAAGTCCTTGCTCCCCCCTTGGCCCCATAGAACCATCTCTACCATCTCTTCCGTCTCTACCAGGCAGACCACGGTGACCTATGAGGAAAATATTTGGTTTTATCTACTCCAGTCTTATAGACGCAGAAGCCGATAACATAGGAATTCAAAGCAAATAAAAAAAATTTCATACATTTCTTATAATATATAAACTGAAATACAATGCAAAAAATTTCCACAAACACCAGCTTCATATAACTGTATATAACTTACAGATCTCTCCGGGTTTATGCTGCCTGTGTATTCGTCTACTTTCCGATTGGGCATCTCGACGAGATCGCGGAGTGGAGGGATCACCTACCGTTGGGGCATCCTAAAAACAAATGATAAAAATATACCTCTTTTCAAATACAAAAATAGAAAATCAGATTTCTTTTCAACATTTACATTGTGGAATCCATTACATGTAAACATTTCGATGGGTGTTGACAAAAAACGCTTAAAAAAATCTCACGCCCACTGCTATCTACTAACAACTGACGCAAGAATGAACCTTTAGATTTCTTTTGCACCTATTTCTGTATATAGACAATTGGGTTTTTTCTCATTTATCCTGGGAAGATGGGAAAACCAATAAGACGGTTTCATCTCTTGTCTATTATTAGTCCATGTCAGACATGGATTAATTAGCCAGTTATTTGTTTTAGATACATTGACTCTATGTTGAAGGAAGCTGTAACAGACCAACGGGTGCATGAATCACCCTATGACGGTGAGTACAGCAAGCCTCTTACACATATTCATTCCATCAGGATTTGAATCCACCTGGGGCTATCATAGGCAGGGTTGTCCAAAACGAATCGAATATTCGAATATATTCGAATATCATAGTATTCGAATACCTTTTCGGCTGATTTTCGAATAATTCCGAATAGTAGCCACTTTTCGCCGTAAACGTGGTGTTTCGTTTTACGGGAATCTTCAAACGACTTTTTACGCTGTCTCACCTATTGTAATGACGATGAAATAGAATCGGCACTTTGATTGTTTATATTCTGTGCGATCGTACGTCGCATAGTGTTGCGACACATTTGCACGTTTGCGTGGGTGGACATTGCCGACATTCGTCTACGAGGCTTTTAATTTACAAATTCATTTCCATCACGTCGAAAAATTGACAATTACCGCTTTTCTAGGCCTGGTTTTTTTTTGGGGGCGTCTAATTGAGAAAGTATGTTTATTTTATTTCTATGTGGCCTGCTTATTAGTCTTCTCAAGCATGATTTGTGTAACCTTATATTTGGGTCTTAGGGTCTGCCAATCATGATATTTAATCACAGGCCGGTTATCGTTACTTTAAAGAGAAACATGGCCACCGAGTGAAAGTGATTTGTGACCCTTTCGTTTTGCCGATTCAGCAGAACACGACAGGGACAGGAAAACACAGCTGTGAAATAACCCATGGACGTACAGTGTAGTACTTATCACATTCCAAAATTATTTTAACATTCGGGTTAATAGGTTGTCCAAAATGATTGCCGCTTTACAACTTAAATTTACCGCTCAATTGTTAAAAATAGTTAATTCTGTGAGTATGATTCTACCAAACTAACATGATCTGGTTCTAAACATATAAAATTATTAGCGCATATCACAGGGACACATTTTTCTACCAGTCTTATTGGAGGCCTATATGGAAAAAACCCTTTTTTGAGTGCTAAAAATAGACATCGTCCTATTTGCCATGTGGACTTATTAGCCGGGAAATACGGTATTTATAGCCGTCATTGTTACGATATCCAATAAATTGGCACAAGTTGGAAAAACAAGTTGATTTATTAGAAAATAATTTCTGGCAAATAATTTTGATAACGATAGTTAAAAGTATCGATCCTTTACCAGGATGATTTTTTGTTGCGCAAAATAATCCAATCCTTGACTGGTACCAGCATTTAAAATGTCATGTCGTATTAATTTAATTCCGTTCAACGTAACTCATTGTTGTATGGACAATCTGTGGACATAAAATGTGTGGTAAACTGACCGATATTATTAAATATTGATTCCTATTTTCATATTGAGAAAATAATTAAAGTATTAATACCAAATACCACGGGTATTTGTGGACATGAAATACGTGGTAAACTGCCCAATTATATTTAATTTTGGATTCGTATTTACAGAATGATAAAACTATTATAATTCTAAAATGCAACGGCGATCTGTGGCCTTAAAATGTGTGGTAAACTGCCCGATTTACCAACATTTGAGTTATGATTATAGAACTAAATTAACACGGTAAGGCATTTTAAATAGTGGTATCAGTCATGGATTCGAATATTTTACGCAGCACAAAATCATCCTAGTAAAAAGTCCATACTTTTAAATACAAATCAATGGCAACCATTATCCAAATTAGTTCCCAAAAAGCGGGATAAAGTATAAATTCTTTCTCCGACTTGTGACAATTTTTTCGTGAGTGCGAAAATAAGAATCAAAAACTAATTATATTCGGCACAATATCACGGCAATCTGTGGACATAAATTGTGTGGCAAACTCGCGATTAATATTAATTTTTGATTCCTATTTTTGTATTTACAAAATACAACGGCGATCTGTGGACTTAGAAAAGTCGGAAAAATAACTCATACTTTATCCCGATTTTTGGCAAATAATTTGGATAATGGTTGATATTTAAAAGTATGGGCGTTTTACTAGGATGATTTTGTGTTGCGCAAATATTCAAATCCATCACCGATACCACTATTGCCGTATTAATTTAATTCTGTTAACATGACTCAAGGTATATAAAATATATACTGCAATAATCTGCAAATATGAAATGCCTGGTAATATAACTAGGTTGTAACTTGTAGATAGCAGTTATTCTATTGCTTATTGTATGGAAATTCCTACATACATTTAGGTAAGCTTCAATTAGTGAATTTTATTTTCGAAGTATTCGAAATTTCATATTCGAAAAAAATAATTTCGAATGTATTCGAAATAGTGAACTATTCGGTATTGGCCATCCCTGATCATAGGTTCGATGGCAAGCATATTCCTAATGCTTAGCACAATGTGCCTACTGCCAAGCTGGGTTCAATCGACAGAATGGAATGATCCACATAATATGCATCAATAACATATCCCAAAGATAAGCTCAAGCATGATACAAACTCCTTTTTCATCTACTTTTAAGTATTATTTTTGAGGTGGGCAAAGACAAAAAAGCATAGAGAAAATACTGGTGGATTCCAGAAACTATAAAAAATAATTAAACTTTCTGAAAATCCCATTCAGCCATTATTGTAATTTCTCTCCATAGCACATGAAATAGATCTAATTAAAATGATTCATTGCTTATATAAAAGATCAAAAGTTGATGATGAACTATACCAGTGGCCGGCAAACTATGGGTTGCGGGCCATCGAATATTTTCTAGTGATTCATACATTGTTTGTTCCATTTATAGTACCAGCATTGCAACTATTATATGTTCATTCTTGCGTATCTGGTCATTTTATTGCGTCATCAAAATTGTGTAATCTAACCATGTGTACCGCTATGTGCAGTTGTTTAATCATTGTAACGCCACGTGTACTGGTAAGTTTGCACTAGTTTCAATTACAAATTAAATATCCCTTGAAGTTCAAAGTGAAATTTTCCAACTAAATTATTGTGCCTTTAACCCTTTTCCATTTCACTATTTGGGCTAAACTTTGCAGACCAGGCGACCACTAATCTATAGAGATCTAATATGATTATTACATGGCTAAAAAAATAAATGAAAAAAGGGTAAATTTTACCAAAAAAAATAACAGAAATTTCAATTATTTGAATTCTCAAAACACCTTTGAAAATATCTTAAATTTAGGATATGCTATTTTTTGAGATTTTATCGAAAGCTTAAATTTTTGAAATAAATGTATAATTACCTCAGTTTCTAAACCATTTGCAGATCTTGCAGACATGAATGCATTTTCTGTTTCAGCGACAGCACGATTTCCTAATGTTAGATCATCTTCCTGTTGTTGTTCTTGCATTTGCAACTTAATTTCAGAAATTTCAAGCGATAATTTGATATACATCACAATTCCACCAGTTACAATAATGAAGAATAGTAGAATAAAGAAGACAAGCCAGAAGCATGGAAGATGAACACGACGTGAAAATATTCCTCGAGTTCTGCAAGGTTTTGATCCTTCCTCCATATCGGAATTTTCATATTCGTTCATTGTGATGAGTCAGCAAAAATATAGAGCTACAATGTCATATTGAAAGAAATCTACATATACTAACACTAAACATACAATCTACTACTATAAATCAAACTATAAGAATACAAGAAAAAATAACTTTCAACAAGTGTCACAAAACTGCAAAATGTTAGTACATTAGTTACATGGCCAAGGCTGCATATGGAATGGCGATATATTAGATATGTCTCTGACTTCTGGACTTTCTGTAATACAGTAATATCACTGCAGATCTCACTAGCATATTTGCTTGTTGATTCAAAATAGGAAATTCTGAAATTAGCCTGAATATCCTTATTCAGTTATTACCGTATTGGAGGCTATTGAAATATTTCCCTCACTACTCCACATTTATGGGATGTTAGCTCACATCAGTGCTGGGGTAATTGGGGTGGATGAATAATTAGCCCAACCTTGTGATTGATGTGGCAGATTTAGTTGATTTTATTGCGCACAGGTCCATATTTCCTTTACATTATCGAAAAGATAAAACTCTACACATTCCTGATCATCCCCCGACCCCCTCAAAAAGCTAAAATAAATATATATATATACATATAAAAAAATACCAATTACAGAATTAAGATATAAGAATTCAATGTAATTTCCAACACTGACACTGCAGTATCAGTGATCATATGACAGTACTGCAGTACAGCAGTAAGATTGCCATTATTTCACATTTTCAATTGCTGACTTTACCTTACTGCCACACTGTAACAACTTAATGCTGCAATGTTTGAGTTTGTGTCAGAGCCAGAGAGCTGATACAGTGATAACAAATAACGAAAATATTGAAATAAATTATCTTATCTACTGATCCTGATATTTCAGTATTTACCGTACGGTACATATTGGATAGGATTTACATATTTATCCCGGGGGAGAGGAAAGCCGATAAGACGGCTTATCCATATGGCGAACCACGGCCTCTCGTCCGGTTACCATTCCAAGTCGGGTATGGGATTAGTTTTTACTGTATTGTTTGTTTTCGGAAGCATGGACTTGGTGGTGGAGGAAGCCGTAACCGACCAGCGGTTACGTGAACCACCCAACGACGGCAAGGAGTCCAGCAATCCTCTCGCACATAACCATCCCTGCATGGGATTCGAACCTGCGAACCCACGCAGAGTGATTAGAGGTGCGGTGGCGAGCGTATTCCTAACGCTTAGCCCGTTGAGCCACACTGCCGGGCCGAATTGAAATATTAGTGAAGCTAGATTTTTATACTCGATACTTCTGTTTGCCTTCAACAGACAGACAGATTCGTCAGCTGATCAGACTACAGGACTATCATTTCGTCGGTGACGAAAGTTCAAAGTTGGCCGACGACGATCATTTCCAGTTGCTACGGTACGGTACCACCACTATAGGTACCGTATCGTGTTCACACATTTGGAAGCTGAAAATTAACTTCGCTACCTACCGATTTAAGCTGTTTAAGATAGCATGCCGGCGAAAATATTTTTACCTTGCGTGATTTCAATGGTTCACCCACTATAGCACACTAATTTCTGAACTTTCTACTGTCAAAATGTTGTAACTTACTTGCGTATCACCACCGGTAATCCTAATCGAGGATGTTTTCCGCCTTCTCAATCGTAAACCCGCGAAGCGAGTTGAGAGTTGGCAGCTGATTTACCATTGATGCTATGCATGAATAACTGTCCCGCCAAAACAAAGCACTTCCGACGTCATTTTGGTGTTTACTGACTTTGATAATACGAGCTGCCGCGAAGAACGTTAAATTACGATACTCTACTCTTTTATTACCATAAATAAAATGATTTGGAATAGTTAAATGTGGGAACGCACGGAGCTTCAATAAAACGTTTTTCATAAGAATCAAAATCGTTGGAAATAGAGGACTTGCACGGGCCACGTGACTTTGTTTACTGGACGGCAAAAACACAAAAACGTGCATTTGGCTCCAGTCGGTTGCAAGTCGGAATATAAGTTTCCGTTTTTTTTGGCTGTTAAAAATGGTTATTTCGTATTGTTCCGTTGGCTGTTCGTATAGTATAGACCAGCGTTTCCCAAATTGCGGAACACTAGTGTTCCGCGGGCGTCTTTCGAGTGTTCCGTGGAAAATGAATCAAAAATACATCTAAATGGGTCGCCATGGCGATCTAGCGATTGTGAAGTTGTCGCCAAACTGACCTTTCCATACCGCGTCACCGTCGGCCTAAAGCGGATTAACTAAGGTAGGGTAGTGGCATTTTCGTTAACTGTCGTCCTAGCTTTTTATCAAGTTTGCATCAATCCTTTCGGTTTTGCTATAGATAGGCAAATAAGTAGGTATAATGAATGAAGGCAAATGGTCAACTCTTTTTCCACCATCTCTGCCTGGTTTTACTTTGAAATGCTGAAAAAATTACTCATGTTCGCTGAACTAGATTCAGCAGATAAATAAACTGCAGCTCGCAAAGTTGCAGCAAGTACGTCTATCTCCATTAAACGTAACATTAGAGGCAAACACTGCGTAATGGAAAGTAAACGACGTAGAAAGGCAAAATAAATTTGTTGATTCATATACACAGCATTCAAATTGAGAAGCAATGAAACATTTATAAAAAATGAAATATGTAAAATATTCAATCATATTTTAGGTATGTTTAACACAATTCTGTTAGTTTCAACTCGCCACGACGAACCCATTGGGAACCGCTACATTGCACTGCTTTTTTTTATATTAATTTTACCCTTTCATTTTTTGGTGTTTGGCGAGATAAAAAGTGTAAATGTTCCGCCGCCGAAAAAGTTTGGGAAACTCTGGTATAGACCATAGGTTCTCAAAGTGCTCCGTACGCAGCCCCAGGGCTCCGCGAGAGAAACCCAGGAGCTCCGCGAGGTATTCGATTACTTTTCAAAATACTGACTTGGCTAATTTTGTAACTGTTCTAATAAGAAGCAATAACAGCTTTGATAAAATTTAACATCAATATAGCCTCGAAATATGGCAAAGAGGCGGAATTAAAAATGACATTCTTTATAAGCTGGAGCGCAGCCAGGATTTTCAAGAGGGGTCGGAAATTTCCGCGCAACATTCTTCGCGATTAAAAAAACGGATCACGAGATTTCTGTTGCGTAAAATATTCAATCCATGACCGATGCAAGCATTTAAAGTGTTTTGTCGTAATATTTATGTAATTGTGCTCATATTTACTCACGTTTGATTCGAGATTACTATTAGGCAGGTCATTTTGACAACCGGGGCAAGCTACTGCGGGACCAAGTCACCCCCATCTACGGGGACAGGATGAGCGCTGTACGTTCTCCCATCATTTTATGAGTATAAAAACCATTCCATCGGTAACAACCAATCGGCAAAAGCGACAATTTTTAACGATAAGAAAGTGTCTTTAAAACCGGTCCAAGTCAAGGGATTAATAAATGTAGACATAGTTTATTTTGAAACCTCTTTGAAAAGGAAAGGCAATATTTACCCAGATAAATACAATGACATATTAACAGAAACTTGGGGAAAGCAGACAAAACCTAAAATAAGGTTTAAAACGTTACTATGAAGAAAGGAAAGGTAATGCAAAGATAAGGACAGACGTCGCTCACTCATAGATATATATGCTGCTAGACTTCTACTGCTTGAACATATATGCAACACGCCGCGGTTTCTTGGAAGCAAAATGCTCAATAACGCGCTGATTAAAGTCATGCATCCCAGAAATAACGTCTCTGTGAATGGATAAAACAGCCAAGGAATTTAATCTATCTTGCTTCATTGTGTTTCTGAGATACGTTTTAATACGCTTCAGCGTGCTGAATGTTCGCTCTGCGTCGGCGGAAGAAATAGGCGTCGTCAAAATGATGTCCAGAAATTTTGCAGACGCCGCAAAGGTAGTTACTAAAGTGTTATCTATGAGGACCCCATAGAGCGCGCAAGTTAATGTGATGTTCAAAAAAGTTTGATTTGGAAAAGTTTGATACATCGCAATTCATTTTCCAATTTACCCACGTTTATCATGGGGTAAAATTTGGAGACAGTAGGAAATTGACGTGCAAATTTTGAAAATTTTTTGGGGTTCATGAAAGAGAACGCGGCAAGGTGTTCAGTGCGCAGACGATCGCCTATTTGATTCACCAGAATGTCACAGCATTCCTTTGCAGACAAAATCAAACGCTGCGTTGTTTGCCCGCGGCGTAAAGAAGCAATCCATGTGTCGTCGTATTTTATTGTTTTCCGGATACGAGATACAGCATCGCAGAAATCTGAAATACACGACTGCACAGACGCTCCATCCATTAGCCTTGACTGCAATGCGCCGTATAATACATCCACGTGATAGAATATTGTGGAGAAAAAAGCGAGAAAAAATGAAAACTCACCATCTTCTAGCAGACGCTTTAGACCTGCCGCCTCCCTCACAGAGCGTTCGTCCCAAACCGGAGAGCTCTGAATGCCATTGAAACACTCAATGAGCTTGTAAGGCTGTAACACTTCTTTCAGTACAGCCGATATCCCGCAATCCGTGCGATCAACGATTGGTACAAAGCTGTGAAATCTCTCGGTAGGTTTACCATCTTTCACAAACCGAAAAATCACAGCCAGTTGGGAAACGCACGTGATGTCAGTTGTCTCGTCAGACTGAATCGAAAGGAACTGGCAATTCTCAATTTCCAGAGCCAAATGTTGTAAATAAATTTTATACATTGAGTCGAGAAAATCAGTTTGGATATCTTTAGATGTCCCTTTCGAAACAGTTGCGGCATCAAGATGATCTCTCAATACTGTATCTAGGGATGCGGTGTATTCCACCATATCCAAAAATACCCCTCTATTAGAAGAGCCAGCCCGTTCATCGTGCCCACGGAGGACAGCTCGTGACAACCAATGAACTTCAAAACATCTATCAATTGACCGAGAACATGGCGGTTTTTCTCGACGTTTTGGTTGTGCCGACGAATAGAAACCGCGCGTCCTTCATCCAACTGTGCTGCAATATTAACATTTCCGAATGTTCGGTATTTTACTGCATTGTCCAGATGCTCCATAGAAGATTGATGATCCCTGGCACGCTCGGAAAGATGTTTAAGATCTCTAAAACCAAATTTACACCAACGTGAGTCACG